TTGGGAAAAAATTACCAGACAAAATATACATTTGCGTTACGTCGACAACGGGAAATCACATTCAAAAGCCGCTAGGATTTAGAACTTGAACTGTCAAAGTACATGGAATGCTTGCTATTTGAGTCCTGTCATAGTTGGTCCTGTCAAAGTCTCAAAGACCCAATCTCTTATTTCATGAAATTTATATTGTCGAAAGTAACGCACTATTTGGGGAAGCCTACAAAATCAATGCGTGCATTTTCGGGTTTATGATTTTCTGTCATGAACAGAGAAGGAATTTATATGATATTATATATTCAGCGTGGTACTGAAACTAACGCCGTAACGCCGTATTGTCATTATGTCAACATAATTAAAGTTGACTCAAGCTTATTAAGATCACGATGCATGTACCTCGCGCTTGCAACTTTAGAATTAGAGTTTACGTTACAGTGTTTCGAATCTATCTGAAAAATGCGATATTAAACCGGTCAGACCTATCAAAATTTTAAATGACGTTTCAAACATTAACTGATATTAAAACTACTCAGTGACACAATATGTACGCGCGCTTATAATCGGAATGCAGCATATATATATACTATCAGACTAATATCTTTTTCTTTGGCTTTGCATCTCGATAGGCTCACAGCGATTGTATTGCTGGCTGATGGAATACGCGGAAAGAATTTTAATATGTACAATTTTTGGGCATGAGCATTAGAAGCAGTTGTATTTTGCATTCAGGAAAGTGCAACTATATGAAAGGACCTATATAGTCTATACAAATTTAGGCTTTAATAGGTCTTTGAAATTGAATACAATTCTGATCGAGTGCTCCACTAAGAAAACTCCCAACTCATTAAAAGTCATCAATTTCATCGATTGAATCAGAGCCAATTCAAATGACACAATGAATACATATATTTGCATGGGATATAGCGCTGCGGTTGGGTTTTGACATAAGCGTCATCACTAAGTAAGGATTAACCACGTATACAATAATCAATATACATTTCGTGACATTCGAAATTTTCGGGATAAATCTACTTTCGTATTTATATATGCTCAATTTATATACCGTATCAATTTTATATAATGTAATATATAAGGGTAGAAAACATTAAACTAGAATAAAGTTTTCTCTCTTCCCTCTCTCCACTAGTGGACAGTGGTTGCCTAACAGGAAAATCTATCGGCCTATCTATATGCTTTTCAGATTAATAGTTGGCATAGATTAGACTTTTGAGGAAAAATAAGTGGGGAAAACTGAAAGTATGACTCTAGCTTTAAATTGATTAATCTCGAAATACTATATATAGTCTAAAAAGAATATATAACTGATTATATAATTGCATAAACATTTTTTTGCAAATGGGGTGTTGAAGGCTTTTGCTACGATTGTTGTAAACTTTCATGCATGTTTATAGTAGACTGTTTCATAGGCTTGACTGCGCAGAAATGAAGTGACCTTTGACCATAATCAGTCCTGTTTTAAATTTTCTATAATCCAGTATGATCAAGTTCACTGTAATTCTGCCCGATGTACTGTATGTATATAGAGAGGTGAGTGATTGCTGTTAAAATTATGGAGTCGTAGCAAACCACATGGTGTCCATATATGCATAGTCCCTGCGTTAAGCGTTTCAACTGATGCATTTAATGATACATCACCATAAGTTATATTATCTAGATACGATGCAAATTCTTATTAGCACGATTTTTTTCACTGTGGTTAAATTTGCATGTACTTATATTTCAGGCATGTCATGCATGAAATGAGTCTTGAGTCTTGCAGAGTTTTTGACTGTATGATTTTTTAATTAAGAATTAAAATTTCACTGTACAATTCTTGGGTCTCATGTGACGTCATCATCCCAGTTGTCAGTGGGGGTCAACTCGAAAACGCGACACACTTGTTTTGCGCTTAGTAGCATATATGTAAAATTTCGTATCATTTGCTCACTCCTGTGCAGCATAAGCGTCCAGACAATCGAGGTTGACCCCCACTCAAATCATTATGAAAACGCTTAGTTAAACCATTTTAAACCCACCAATACATAACGGAAATTCAATCTATCAGGATTACCCATGCAAATTAGGGCACTAGCTGTTTCGTTAGTGCAGTCAACAATTATACATGCATGTTATAATAAAATTTGGTATAATTGTTTTATAATATAACCCCATTTTAAAATTGTGTTTTATGAAATCTTTTAAATTAAGTCGGTTTACTCTAAGTCGGTGAATCTTCAAAACGAAGATTTATTACAACTTTTATGCAATTCCCTGAAAGATTAGTGATGGAAATTAACCACACTGCATCATATTTGTCACAGTTTTTGAAAAACTACTTGGTTTACGAAACCAAATTTTCAACTGCATGTCAACGAGAAATTTCACTGCGTAAACCTGGCCTAAATCTTCCTAAACACCCGATTAGGTGAACCATAATTAAGATCTGGGATCCGCCCGAAAAAAGTATATGAATCCCACCTCTAAGATTTGCCGGTAATAAGTGCATGGGACAAAAAAATGACGACGATTAATTAGGGTTAAAGTTTAAATCTGCATTGAAACGACAATATCACTATCAGCTTCTGAAATTACATCAAAGTAGAATAAAATATCCAAATTATGAGTAAAAATGTCCAACTGAATTTTCCTGGAGAATAATTGATAACATATTTGACATTAAATACTGAATTACATGCAGGTATTCAGTTGCAAGCCGCATGGTGGTTAAATTTTGGAATATCTATCTGCGTTGTGTATCCACGTTTTCTAAGTCGAACGAATTTCTCTTATACTTAGCGTGGTCAAACTAGGATTGGAGTTCAGCTAGTTGACGAAGGCTTGCGTGCTCGCCAACTTTGCAAGAGATGCGGACAGCATATAGGTAAAGGGGCTTAGAGGTAATGCTTAGCACATTCAGCGGCGGGTTGAAACACATAGCATGACGAGACTTGTCAAACTAGTTTCTGCACGCGCGCTGATGTCCTTTTTTTACATCTTGATTCAAATCAATCTTTCAAGCCTCATGCTGATCAATGCAATAAATGTCATGCAATTAAAACGACTATGGGTCACGGAGTTGAGAACTCGCATACCTCAGTGTCGCTATGAGTAGTTAAAGATGGTCATAAATCCTCGGTCCGTTCAAGCCAGCAAATGGTGTTTTTTTGGAATAAACTATAATCATGTTGATCACCGGCAGAGTGTTTAGTAAATAAATAAATGATCAATTACGCCAGATTCCTGCCCTGCAAACACATGCAAAAGAGCGTTTCTTAATTAACTAACTATGAAGGCATTTCTCCTGATTTTCTTATAGAATTAGCCTTTCTCATGCACGATGACGAATGTGCCGCCATGTTTGGGGTACGTTTTTTTAAAATTGTGAGCGCAAGACCTTGTCAGGGCGGCTGTCGTTAATTTTTGGGGTAACTTATTGTTCAAATGTTCTATTGACTCTTAAAAAATACTTCTTAGATTATTATTATTGTTTAAACGCATTTAAGAAAATTGCATGAGAGTACCCCCAAAATGGCGGATATTCGTCACCGTGGCTAACTGGCCCTTCTGCCGGCATGCACCAGGGCGGCAGACACTCTCTTTACTGCAGTAGTCAAAATTCGTTAAAAATGCCCTGGATCACAACACGTGCAAAGATGATATTTTTGTGGGTAAACAACCAACAAGGATGTAAACACGTGTGCAGACGATTCTAAGTTACGTCAGCCTGTTGTTGCTGCATGCACGCGTTGTTGTCTCAGCCCGCTATAGCTCTCAGATGTTGTTCGTCATATCCGTGCATGCTAACTTACTAGTCTTATACTTAAACGTGAGAAAAAAACTAAAGTGTTTAAATGCACTCATATAGTCACTATAGTAACCGAGAAAGTTCTCTTTCAGAGAACTAATGATCTCGACGTAATAATCCTGAGAAAATGTGTTACCTTAGATGAATACTCTATTTAGTCTTAGGGTACTTAACGCATGATATAATAGTTATACATAGTTCAGTGTAAATCCTTGTGCAAACTAGAAGAGGTGTAAAAGACGGAGACGGAGTATCCATCTTAATTAATTGAACGCCTAACCGAGTATACTGAGGTACAGGTGTATTCAATCGACGTTTCTCTATACGGGGCCGCGGCGAGAGAGAGGGCCCCGGGCAATATTGTGGTATGACAGTCGTAGGGTACCAAAGAACCACCGGTATACGGTATACCTACACTGAAAGAGGACAAACTGACGAGCCACTAGCTAGCGTAAAAAAGCTCAAATTCAAAGGCACTAGATCGCCACAAATGGCACTCAGATTCAAGTATATTGGAACATTACCTTCATCCCGGCCTGACGTAATTATCATCTCCTTTCAACGCTCTAAGTACAGTAAATGATCCGGCACCATTTTCACCCCTCCTCCCTAGTTTGAACTACTGAACGCTGGAAATACAGCCTACGAGTTTTGGTGGACGATTATATCATTATAGCTAGTGTGCTATCTCTGCTTTGAGATTAGATCACCGGTGTTCAAGGGTATACACTTCTAGAATAGTATATCCAGAGAATTTATAAACATTAGTGCCAGCACAAGGTGCACCAAATAAGCCCATAGAGCCAGCCATAGAGGTAATAAATAACACTAGAGGAGGCATTGGTATCGGAAACATCAGTTGAAAAAGGGAGCGCGTTAATGGGCGACAAATTCAATTCCAAGATGCTATTGAAGCCAAGCGCCTATTGGCTACATCAATGCCTTGTTAGCAACCACGTTAGCAACAAGTAAAATATGTACTTAAAAATTTATCTCTTTTTTTAGGTCGCTTTGCCGGTTTTTGAGGAAAAACAGAACTGGTTTTACTACCTTAGATATTCTGAAATGATATTTTAGGGGAAAAAACATTTAGAAATGACATATTTTGATGAATGAGTGACATCCGGGACTTGGAATTGATCCCTTTAGCGCTCTCCCCAGTTTCTCCTCGATGACCCCTTTAGTGTTATCACAGGTGTTATTTATAATCTCTATGGTGCACCCAATGTACCCGATACACCCATTACACCACAGTTACACCAAACACCATAAAATAGATGTAGATTTAAACATCTATAAATCAGCGAAGCAAAGTCAGCATGTCGGCTGTTGAGGGGTTAGAGAAATTTATAAACGATCATAAATCCCAATTATTAAGTTGTGGAGTCCCTGAAATCTACTGGAATACGTTGTACGAAAAACTGAAGCAAGAGGTAAATAGAGTTAATAGGCTTAGTTCACATTACATTAGATGTTCATGTACTAGTGTACTATAACAGTTTCCATCCATTGATATAACTGCTTCTGTACAATGGTAGTTGACAAACAAGCTTGGTTTAGCGTCTCCTCTTAATATTTTTTAAAAGGTGAATACGAAGAATAATATTATAGGCCATTATAGAGTGCTACTGCAGTCTGCAACGAAATTTTCGACCCCTTTTTTATTGGCTCAATTTAAAGTGCTCACTCTCCTGATTTCATTTCTGAAAACAGAATCAAAATTAGCTTTCTCAAAAGATTTTTATAGCTCTCATAGGCGTGATAAACAGACCTGTGTGTTTGATATATTAAAGATCTTAGCTAAAGAACTTCAATTTTTTGGGTAGGTTTTGCAATATGTACCAACCAGATTTAATTGAAGTTGTACTTAAGACATAAATTCACTAAATCTTTTAAAAAGCTTTGAGAATTCACTCAAGTTTCACAATATGAAACATAACGAGATGCAATTTGCAAGCTTCAAGCAAAGGAGGCAAGTTTGATTTCTTTCATCCCAGGAATTCCAATATATATATATATATATATATATATTATAATTATTATATATATATATATATATATATATATATATATATATATATATATATATATATAGTGCCAAGAACAGTATGCTGCAACAGTGGCAATTTATGTTTCATACAATTTTTTTATCAAATGGAAGTAAAATTTAATCACATAACACTAGAGGTTCTCCTTGAAGTTTGCCTTTGAAGTAGGTACAAGGGTGCAAGGTATAAGATCTTGTGACAACCAAAGTAGACTAATATTAAAATGTGCATGTATACTGTATGACCTTTGTAAACTTAAAATTAAGATCAAATTAAATTCAAGAGTATTGCAAACCAAAAATATTGAAAAATTCACAGTACATCCAACTTGTGAGGAAGTAGTTTAGAATTTAAAAAACCCACATTTGTTCATCTTTTACAAAAATAATGCCTGCCCCACCGCCCCTAGCTTTTGTACAAACGGCCCAAAAAAAAAACTCTTGCACTAATAGTTTTTTGCTGGGCTGGAGGTAATAATTATTTTTCAAGTTTCATATGTTGAAATACATTCATGCAGACCAATTGAATCCTTACAAAAATGCCTGCCCCACCACCCTTAGCTTTTGTACAAACGGCCCAAAAAAACCTCTTGGACTAATAGTTTTTTTCTGGGCTAGAGGTAATAATTATTTTTTAAGTTTCATATGTTAAAATACATTCATGCAGACCGATCGAATCCTTAAATTAGCTTTGTAAACTAATTAATACCACATATTTGCTTAAGTTATGGTGAAATAGTATTCAGTTCATGTTTGTGATTACAGCATGCTTTAATATGCATGAATTAATTATAAACGTGACCTAAAGCTGTTCTGAACGTGATATCTAATTATAGGTGTTTGATGCTTACAGCTATTTTACGTTTGTGTATGATGACAAGAGATCGCTTTATCCAGTTGTATCTTGTGATGGAGGCCTGAAACGAGATGATCCTAATAGGTAGTTTGGCATATTTTTGTTTTTGAGAAGGTTTTTGAAGTGTTAGAATTATGTATAAACCTCTTGTGCTATTTTCCCTGCCATTCCCCTCAGTTGCATAGCCAGCATGTTAATTGGGGGTGGGGGAGTATTTATATATTCCTGATACGCAGGATTAATTTCTTTTCAAATCAATTGTCTTTACAGTCTGTTAACATGAATATATCAAAATGTCCCCCCCCCAATTATCGATGCTGGCTACGCCACTGATTCTCCCACCTCCAAGCCAAGGTATACTTACTATTTTGCCGAATATTTTGATCTACTATTTTGACCAGTATGAGAACGATTTTCTGTGATTTCTTGTGCTTCGCCACTTGTGCGTACATTGTATGTTGAACACGTTTTCTTCTGAGAGCCTCATAAATCATGGCTATTCAGATAAGTTTCAATTTTGGGGGGGATTTCTTCCAATTGTGTAGATGTCGTGTAGTCATATCATGTCTTCTTTATCTTATCTTAGCTGCTTTCCCGTCGCGTTTTTTGCACGCACGTATAGCTACACGCACGTAGCTAAAAGTTTAAAACCTTTTACGTTGTTAGCTATATAATTAATTTTATTGCAGAAAAAAATCCTACTCTGTGTATTTATTCAATCGTAGAGTATCATTTAATCGTAAAGTAGCATTTAAACGATTTTAAACTTTTACGTGCTCTTAGGGCTTTCCACTGTCGCGTTTTTTGCACGTACGTACACGCATGTAAAAGCTTAAAACCTTCTATATTGTTGAATAATTAATTTTATGCCAGAAAAAAACACATCAAATCATCAGCAGAATCCAACCCTATACATCTATTCAATCGTCGATTTCATAAGTGCATGTCATCTAAACGACATGCATGGTCTAAACATACATACGACATGCATGGTATTAAACGTTAAGAAATGTAAGGAAATCCTCTTTTGTTTCTGAAGGGAAAAACCTAACTTCTAGCAATTGACTGTTGACAACTATGTGGTCGAACAAGTGAAGTCTGCAAAACTTTTGGGTTTAACCCTGAGCAGTGAGCATGTCGAATATGTTGTAAAAAATTATCGACGATGTTACGTTATGTTAAATGTGTTATACGGACCGTTTTCAAGCACAAACCGAATTATTTTATCCCTATACATCAGTTGAACGTTTTAACTTCTTGTTTTATTGTATATAGCTAGATACTTATGTATGTAAAACTTGGATGTATTCCAGCTTATCTTATATATGTAAAACTTGGGTGTATTTAACCGTTTTGGTTGCAAATTTCAATTTTAATTTATCGAATTCATTCCAAATCCATTCCATTTTAATTGATTTTAAACTTTTACGTGCGTTTATACGTATATACGTGTACAAAAAACGCGACAGCGGAAAGCAGCCCTTAAGGCATACAAAAATATATGGATAACTAAGTTCTTTCGATTTATTCACCTATATGGCTTTTTCAAATATGACATGTTGCATGTGTATGAAAAACACGAAAGTGGAAAGCAAAAGTCTAAATCCTTATATATGTCATATTTGAAAAAGCTAGGCGAATAAATCGAAAGAACGTAATTTATCGCGTATTTTAGTATGCATTCGTTGACCCATTGGTTAAAAATAATAAAAATTTAGAAGCATTACGATTTAAAATTTAGAACGTTTTACGCGCGAGTCCTTAAGCTATTTTTCCACTAGCGATATTTTTTGCGCGAAGCGACTTTATTCTTTTGTATTTGGGAAATTTGTTCCAGATGAAAGCTCTGAAACAAAAGTAAAATGTCAATTCGCGGGAAAAATATCGCTAGTGGAAAACCGGCTAGATGAAGGTTCGTTGTGTCATTATTTTTTTTTGGATAATGTTTATTGGGTTAAACGTTAGCACACAGTAGATCCGAGATTGCATGTGCAACTTTTATAGTACATTATTGCTTTCTAAAGTAGCTATGTATTTTCGATGGTATTTCGATACACAAGGGACGGAAATAATCTGCACATCTTTGCACATTTGTCTACATGCATGTTCGAAAAAGAATCCATGTACATGGCATGCAATTAGGTCGTTTATAGGACAAAAGAAAGGTGCATACGGCCATTTTTTTATTACGATATATTCCATCTATTTTGAATTTGCTTTCCCATTATTAAATTGACATTTTGTGTAATTGAGTTATTTTTTTTTTAATATGATCTAGTGTGTTCCTGATTGACCATGCATGGACTTATGAAGCGGAGTTCGCTCGTGCACAATTAAGGTCAATACCAGGATTAGCAAAAAGAATGGCTTCGTTAATGGATCTTTTAGAGGATAACGAGGAAACTGTGAACGGCGATAATGGTGACGAAAAGAAGCCATTTTCTGAAGAAGCACGAAAGATTTGTTTGAAGGATGGCTTTTATACAAACGAAGACGGTAAGGCTTGTCTTTCATATCGCAATACATCGGCGATGGCTTTTGTCGGTAGTCAATGATACGTAAAATGCTTTGTTTATCCAGATAAATTACCTTCTTTATTGGTAAGCGACAGTGGTTAGTAAAAAACGCCATGTATCACGACATATGAAAACAGTTACTTTTTATGTAATTTTCGAACCAATGAAAAGAATCACATCTTGCAAATTGAGGTCGCTTTACTGATCCATATGCATGCTGTTGAATTCGGCACATGAAAAGCACAAAGTTAGGAATAAGTTATGCCAAATCTTACACTTTAGTTTCAAACGACTTGACGTTTGGCGTGTTTTATGTGGAGACCACATCGAAAATTTGTGTTCTCGGTACATTGAGAGGAATACACATTCCTTTGTATTTTTAATCAAGATTTTAAGAAATGCTTATCATGTTGGTCAACCTAAACATTGTTTGTAATTTCCGTACAAATGAAGGAATATGCATGAACGATACATTTATTCCGAATTATTTGTACTCAGTCGAATGCATGCAAAATCACGATTGACGTAGCGTAGGTGGCGTAGTTGGTATATGTAGAGCGAGGGGACTGGGAAGTTATGTGCTAGATATTTCTCGGTCGCCGATATAATCCAGTTTCAAAGGATTCATCTCCCCAAACAGCATTTTTATGAATAATGAAAATGGAGAGCAATATCAGGTTTACAAATATTCGCGAACTGGTATGTAGCTACTCTAGCGGCTAAATCATGAAATTTCTCATCGCTCTCGATTTTGAATTTCACCGTACAGTGCCTGGAGAACAGCCGATCGTTGTGAATTGCCGTTAGAGCCTAAAACACTCACGTTAGTTTTTCTCTTTATTAGGATCACATGCAGATAGCTCACCCTCTCACAATCACGAATTACACGATTCCTTTGACTAGATACTCATGCACCACCCTTCATATTTTTTTACATCTCTGACGTATACACTGATTGACACTTATTTGGCTAACTACATTATATCCCTAATTAATAATTTCCCCATAGTTCTAAGGACGATGGTAGTACAGTAATCTTGCGGACGCGCAAATTCTGGTTGGAAATAGCTAATAGCTATGATGTTTTGTTCGAGAATCAAATTTCTTGCCTCTATATAGATCCCGCGCTTTGATCCAAAGCTGGATTTCCTGATTGTTTCGAGACGTGTTGCGTTCATTTTCCCGCTGCTTCGCGGAATTACGAGGCGAATAAAGCTCTGCGTGATGTTTATTTACTCGAAATTATTGGTCGAACACTGAAGCTAAGACTATATACTTTAGGCAAGAGTTTCGCGTTGTTCAAAGTGGTCATCGCGTTGTTTTTCGCGGTGCCGATTTCGAGTTCGGTTTTTCTTACATGAACTTGAGGCTGTGTGCACACTATCAGAGAAACCGAGGTCAGAGGTTCTACCATGGTTAAAAGCATTGGCATTTATAAATATTTTACCGCAATGTTTTTAAATTTCATATATTTTTGGGGGTTTTTTTTCAATAGTGCCCTCCCATTAATGCTGCAGCAAGAATATAGGCCCTATTGCCCCATTGTATGAATTCATCATTTCAAGGAACCGTTATATTTATTCTGCATAAATCTTACAAGCGTTCATACTGTTGTTTTCATGCAGGCGCAGAACTTCCGAACGAATCGGTGGTAGAATTTATATTTCAAAAAATGTGGAAGTAAGTCAACATCAGTTTCATATTCTTTAAACCTCCTGTAACATTCAACATTTGGTTCGGTGAAAATTTTCCCTAGACATTTGTGTGTTATTCTGCCTATAGATTCAATCAAACCTATCAAGTTAAAGTGATGGGCATGGTAAGCATGACATATTTGTTATTTCTTGGTTTGTATACAGCTCATTACTGAATAAATGACAGTTGTATGTGTGCCTTTGAGACTAGTTTTTTAACTATAGGCAGGGAGATAGTAATCACCACAAGAGTCAAACCTACTAAAACTAGTAAAATTGCAATGTTCGGTTGCAAAAAATACAAAAAAGTGTGGCAAGTTTTGTATCGTTTTCCATTTTGAGCGAATTTTTTACCATTTTCGCCTTAACTGTGTGATCAACTTCCGCCCGTATAAACCGTTATAAGTATAATTTCCGTCATGAACTGTTTTTATTCACACACTATATAGGCCTATTCGAGAAAGAAGCCTGTCGCGAGGTACACGAAAGCGATGCTATTTAGGCCTGTTTTAGACGTCGAACTTTTCATGTGCCGAACCTAATGTTAATGAACTAAAGTCTTTGTTTAAGTTCATTTGCATTCGATTCGGCACATGAAAAGTTCGACGTCTAAAACGGGCCTTAGATTTTTCTAGGAATTTAAAAATCATGTTTAGTTTCACTTTTTCGCTGGACCTGTAACAAGAAATAAAAACAACAAAGTATCTTTAATTGAAATTTTGAAATAAACAAAGATGTTAGAATTTTGGCAGTGGAAAACCTGACTATCCTCCTTTTTGTGTCACTCGCGACCAGGGCCGAAACTAGAACGGGGGGTTATTCATATATATTCAGTTTTTCCCGGCGGTTTCTTTTCTAAGCTATTGCACATGAATAAACATCCGCCCAATTATCGTTCTAGTTCCGGTCCTGCTCGCAACTGACGTCTTTCTCTTATTCGAATAGGCTTATGGCTTGCTTACGTTTTTATGCGAATAATGTGTTTATTTATTTCAGGGACAGGACGATGAAAATGTTGAAAGTCCTCAGGCGTCTTCTTTGAAAGAACAAGTGTGTTTCTGGTATATCATGGACGAATTTGGTTCGAAAATTCGCCATTCGGACCTACCCACTGTCACGGTCAGATGTTTTTACTACGTCGACCGTGAAATCTCATACAGTGTTTTGTTTCCTATACAAGATCTAGACTACGGAGGTAACATTTTCATTATATTAAAGATCTAAAAAAGATCTGAGATCATGGTTAAATCTGACTAGCTGATCTATACACTAGATGGTATAGCAAAGTAGCAAAGTATACTTTTATTGGCGATCGATCGATGTAAGGGGATCCCTAAGTGCGCGTAAATGCAAAAATATTGCGTTCGTAACAGTATTAAAAGTTCATGTGTATTACGAGCGAACGAGAGCGTTTCAACTTTTAGGAAACTGTCAATATACAACCCCTCTGACACTAGGAATTAAATTGAAGAGAGGGCACTATAATATCTTAATTTTAAAGCTTGAAGCGAGCAGTCACCATGCATGTATGCTAAACGTACCCTTTTGTATGTGGGTAAAACTGTAGTTCGAAACTGTAGCTATATTTTTCCGGTTGTATTCAACCTCAATTCCTGTCTTCTCGACTCTATATTAAACTTGTACCTGCGTCATACTCAACTTTATCATGGGGTATAAAAACTGCTTAAGATAGAAACGACGATTTCTGGAAGTATGAAGAGTTAATACTGATTACCTGAGAGGATGCAAGAGAGGGGGTCGCCCATGCAAAAAAAAACAACTTCCAATCTTGCCCAAATCTCCAGGATGGGTAACTTCTATTTTTTAGACTTTTAGAAGCCCTAGAATTCTGAGCTTTCCGGTGAGGATGTAGCCCGACACCATTAAACGTGCCCTTCACCCCAAAGTTAGGGCCCTGGACTCCGCTGGCAAAGACGATACGTCGAGAAGTATTCTTGTCTCTTGTTATACCACATTTACTGCGGAGTGCTTCCTTGTATTTTATATCAGATTATTTTATATCTGTTATATTTTAACATCCCCGCTCCCCCATTCCCTGTTTTAATGATAGCCTGTCACATACTGTACTGCGCGTAGGCCATGGTGAGGCATTTTAGCTGCCAATTCATGCAGAAATGCGTTGAGATGGACTTTCAATAAATTGCAAATAGAAACTGCATGTTTTTTGTAATAAAGTACAATTTTAGGAAATATTCGAGGTTCAACAACGGAATATTTTCTATTTTAATGCAAATAACATTGTGAAAATAATTGTATGTTGTTAATTTTCTAGCTGCTGTCACTCGCGACTTTGCTGCCGGCGTTAACGATCCTGAAATTAGGGCGACAGTGTTGTATCCATGGCAGCCAGAAAGCTTCGTGTTTGATGACACAGTTTGTAAGGATAGTATTGACGAGATTTTGTTTCCGAACGAGGTAAAAGCAAGCACTGCATTTCACTGCTGTTCATTTGCTGAATCAATGATAACGCTAGCGAATAAGTAGCTCAGTTGGAAGGGCATTGAACTAGCAAACCAATTTAAAGGTCGCGGGTTTGATTTCTACCGTGGTCGAGCTGATTTTTTAACTTGCCCGGTCGGTAACTCTGAGTAGTGAGTAGCACCATCACAACAGAGAATTTAATACACCTGATAATACAGCTATATCACTTTAGGACCCATAGATATAGAGGGACTAGATTAACTTGGAAAATTTCACCTATTCGAACTGTCTTGACCTAGTAACTCAGTTGGAAGAGCATTGAACTAGCAAACCCAAAGATCATCTGTTCGATTCCCACCTTACATAGTCAAAATAATTTTTCAGCTCGCCAGGTTGGTAACTTGAGAGTAGCACCATGCATCACAATATTATGACAATAGAGTTGATGCTCGCGTTGGCCAAGAACATCAACTGTATTACTATTATATTAACTTTAAACGTATAAAAAAAAAACACTTCAGGCATTCTTCTGATTGGCATAGATAAGCGGGCTAATATATTTCAGCTCGGCAAATTTATCATTTTAGCCCGCAAAATACACCGCAATGCCCGCCAAAGTTAATATAATTAACAATTAGACAACGAGTCCGAGTTGTCTATGAGCGAATAGTCAACGAGGCGAAGCCGAGTTGACTATTTGCTCATAGACAACGAGGCCGAGTTGTCTAATTGTTTTAGTATAAACTATAACATTAATTTACAACTAGGAAACACAATATAAAATTCTTGTTGGCTTGCAAACCATTCTGAAATTTATTTCGTATATTAAAGGAAGAAAATATTTTAATTGTTGTTCGCGTAAAATGTTTTAAAATTCAGTTTAAATATAAAAATTCAATTGAGTATACGTTATTTTTATGTATTTTCTTACCCTTAAAAATTGCAATTCCGTATTTTGTTGCTTTTTTTGTTTTTTCTGGTACGGAATTGTCCAACAAGTCGTCCAAAAAATCTTCAGATACTTCGGCGAAACGCGAATTTTCCGCCATTGTTTTGAATTTTGCTACTAGTAGGCTATCACTAATAGCCTACCAGTAGCGTAGCCAATCAGAACGCAGGAAAAGTGATAGCCTATTAGTCAGTTTATACTAATAGTTCATATACACCTGAGTCATTTGGACTATCTCTGGTGAAAAGATATTATAATCGATATTATTGAAAAGATATTATTGCGAACTTTCAGCTAGCAATTAATACGCATGCACTTGTTTGTGTATGTAGTCACGATGCCGAGAAAAATATACCGAAGAATCAGAAGGCGTGCTCTATTTGCCAAAGAAAAAAACTTACAATGTCTTCACTGACGTTGATGTCGTCTCCGAGAGCCTTAAAGCCCCCAAGTATCGTCTTGTTGATAATCCACACGGGGCGGATATTATATGGCAGAAAGATCACTTTAAAGATTATGCGTGAGTGAATGTGTTGATATAGCAACATCCTAGCATTATCGACGTTACGTCGCTTGATTTTCATTTCACTATATTTGGGATAAATGACACTGTTCTTTAACTTTTAGCTCGCTGCAGGAAGCCAAAACACAATATATCAACCAGTTTCCATTTGAAAACGTACTGACTTGTAAAGATCTGTTGGCCCGCGTGGTCAACAGAGTGGGCGTACTCTATCCCACGAGGCGTGATTGTCCAGATACCACTCGACCTCCATGGTTTCAAGAGTCGTATAACCTGAATTTTGAGCTGCCGGATTTTATACACAATTTTCGTAAACGCGAGCAAAGGTGAGGAAGTTTATTTAACACGTTCCTTTTAAATATGAGTGCGCTGAAGTTTGTTAGCTCTTGATTGTTATATGCCTTTATCTTCTAACGATACCATGACTGGTTTGACAATGTCAATGACTTAGAGTAGAGGTCGAAATATCAGCGTAAAATTCTTGTGTTATTGTTGTCAACAGCTCACATCTTGAGTTTGTTATTCTTCGGAGTTTGTTATTTGGTGTATATACCATAGCTGCTTGCTGACTTTTAAATTTTATCTTTAAATTCTACTAGCTTCTGAACGAACATTTAACAATTATTGGATGAGGTTGAGTGTCATATCGAGAATTATCAAGCCGAAGTTTGCGTTATTTACCGAAGCGAAGCTGAGGCGGATAGCGCAAACTGAGGCGGATAGCGCAAACTGAGGCTTGATAATTCTCGATATCATGCGAAAACCGAATTCAATAATTGTTTTATTATGTATTTCCTTTTTAAAGAGGAAGTTTGACAACAAACTAGCGGTAAAAATTACGTCACCTACGGATAATTTTCAATGTCGTGTAGGTGGCAAGACATTGTGTAGGTTTTAAGCCAATCACAATCGAGATTGCATTAGTAATGCATAATAATTTCTCTTAATGTCATGGTTGTCGTTATAATTTCCATGTATAATCTAGGTTCCACACTGAATTCAAGAGTGATGATATTAATAGCATTAATTTTGATTTAGAAAAGCCGACAATGTCTGGATTATAAAGCCCTGGAATCTAGGACGTAGTTTAGATACCCACGTCACCGACAATTTGGATCAAATTATCCGATTACGAGAAACTGGACCTAAGGTGTGTGCCAAACTGGTTCAGTAAATGATAAACTATCTCAAATTTTATCTGTTCAGAAATATTTACTTAACATAAACTTAAAGTTGAGTAAGGCGATTATGAATAAGCACTGGGTTTATTTTTCTGCATGGTCAAGCAAGCGAACTCAAATTAAGACTAGATTGTGTGCAGCCAGTGGACACATGTACTTTAAAAAAATGAACTGGTATCAATTGCACCACTTGTTCTACCCAAATTGATTCTCTTTAATATTTTCGTGGCACAATGCATATTACGTCTGGTAATTTAAGATGTCGGACGCATAGCTCTATTATAGAAAAAAACATTATAGCATGACTGATTTTTCTCGGATTTTTTAATATTTTGTTTATCCCATAGATTGCTTTCAAGTATATCCGCAATCCTGTCTTATTTGAAAGGGAAGACGTCGGTAAAGTGAAATTTCACTTCCGCTATATGGCAGCTGTCACTAGTGTTGATCCTTTGATAATAGATATTGACGAAGTATTCTGGATTGGCTGTGCTAACAAGTAATTCCCTTTAAATACCTATAGACAAGACTAATACCTAGACTGCACCAATGGCTTTAATTTCTTTTAAGATGAAGAAAGTCATTCGATTTTCAATTGTGTAACTTTCTTGCAGACCTTTTTCATTGGATGATTTTGATGTTTATGAAAAGCATTTTACCACAATGAATTATCGTCAAGAAGTTACACTAAAACAGGTGAGATCCGTAGCCACGTTTGATCTCCAAGAGTGGTATTATTTCTTCGTTAAAGACGTATTCATGTTTGAAACAATAAATCAAATATACTTTGTTATGGCGTGCAATTTTACTAGAATTAAAGATTAACTTATATGGTGAACTAATTTCCGTTTTGATAGGTCCATCATCACGAGTTCCCGGAAATGTTTGATCATCAATATCCGGGTTACAAGTGGCAGGATGTTGAGGTAAATGTTTGTGTTTTGATTTAGGCATTTCCCCTCTGATCATGAAAGGGAAAACATAAATTATACATCCTTACACTGTTTTCTTATTTGAAGAACGAGGTTCACAAGATTATAAAAGAACTTTTTGAAGCAGCAACGTCAGAGCTGCCACCTAAAGGAATTGGGCATTGTAAAATGGTATTTTTAAACATTCGATATTTATGCTATGCTTTACATAGAAATCTACTAACTGTATCGGTGGGTTCTAATAAAACTGGAACGATAACTCTATTTATGAAGTCTCTAAAATCCTATGAATGGATGAAGCTGATTTCAAAACTAATCGTTGATTAAGGCTGGAACCGCGCAAAAGAAAAACACCTTTAAAAAGACTAGGGAGAGCTTCAAGGAGTGAAAGCAGTGAAAGTTTCGTTCGATAGCATCAATTTTCTAAGCTTTACGACTATTTAGGGGGGGGGGGACGCTCAAGGTAGGAGTCGCAAATCGTAAATGTTGCTCAAGTTTAAACTCGCCGAAAAATAATAATGCCTAAAACTCATTTCCTGCGTGAAAATTGTTTTTATTTACAAAAGACTAGGTAAGGTTGAAAATTTTTAGACTTTATTCTATTTCAATGGCTACGTAAAAGTATAAGAAAATATCCAACGAAAATAGAGTGTATTTTAGACCCGTTACATGCATACAATGACGATGATGTTTACGATGAGCGAATTTCCTTTTTTTTTAGTCTCGCGCTTACTATGCTTTGGATTTCATGCTAAAATGGAAGGATAAAGGTAGGTCCACGTATGCTTCGTATTTAAGGAATAGAAATAGAATAACTGTATATAAACTGTATAGGAGCAGAATAACTGCATGTATATAAACACAGGAAAAAATGTTTTCTATTTATATATACATGTATATAGTTATAGATTATAGTTATATAGTTTATATATTTATATATACAGTTATGGAAACACGTTTCTCGACCGATCAGCACGCACGTACTGTATATATATATATATATATATATATATATATATATATATATATATATATATATATATATATATATATATACACTGGCGGTCAAAAAGAACTGCTCAAATGTTGCTATTATCGTATGTAACAGGAATCGTAACAATCAATCTTTTATTGTACACTAGCGGTCAAAAAGAACTGTTTAGATACAAATTTATAAAAAAGAAGCGAGTATAGTAGAGAGCTTCATAGGCATTTTGGATAATTCTCTTATTCCAAGCAATATTTCAATAATGTAATGCAACCTGCCACAGTTCCAAGATATAGTCAAACAATGGTTTCAGGAAGAGAAAGTGACAGAAATGGATTGGACTGCACAATCAAAAGGCCCTAACCCTATTCAACATCTGTGGGACAATGTGAAAGGGATAGTGCAAGAAAGGAATTAATTCATAAAGCGTCCATGATTTATGCGTTGCTGTAAAGACTGTCCATAAGATGAATTTCTTTTGACCATTAAGATTACCACCTTAGCAGAAAGTATGCCACGCCAGTGTAAGGCCGTCATCAATTATAAAGCCAAATGAGGGTCAACAAAATATTAATATTTCGTATAGCTTAGCATGTAATCTAGTCTATATATTTACTCGTATATATTGTTAGAGGCACAGTTACGTTCATTTGACAGCATTTTTACTTGTTTTGAGCAGTTCTTTTTGACCGCCAGTGTATATATATATATATATATATATATATATATATATATATATATATATATATATATATATATATATATATAGCTATTCTACTCGCCAAAGTGTAAACCTATACCTCCCAAAAGCTAAAACAGAATGGGGGAAGCAACGTTTCGTGTACCAGGCAGCGAATGACTGGAATGATTTAGATAATGACATATTAAGAATATAGTTAATTTTAACATTTTTAAAAGAAAATTTATGTTATAACATTCATTAACATCTCGTGTACCAAGCAGCGAATGCCTGGAATGACCTAGATAATGACATTAAGAATTTAGTTAATTTTAACATTTTTAAAAAACTTCTAGAATAACTTATAGGCTAGTTTTACTATATTCCAGATTTATACATTATAATAATGTATTGTGATGAGGGCTTCATTGAAAAGCATCCTGAGATGAATGAATTTCCCTCAATAAATATTATTATTATTATTATATATATATATACATATATATATATATATATATATATATATATATATATATATATATATATATATATATATGTTATATATATGTATATATATATCTATATATATGTTTTTTAGCAGATTGAAGGTCCGTATAGGGAAATATTTCCCGAGGTCTCAAAAACAGCCCGAGGCCGAAGGCCGAGGGACGTTTTGAGACCGAGGGAAATATTTCCCTATACGAACCGAATAAACTTGTAAATAATAGATTTATTTTTTTCTTGTTGCCGTCCGAATTCTGAGCGTTAATGGCTCTGTGCTTTTAAATCTTGCGCGGCCCGTACGGCCCCATACGGACCGCTCGCGTAGCCAATCAGATTGCAGGAAACGCTAAAATATGAATTCGGACCACAAGAAAAAAAAATTAAATAAAGTATTTGCGAGACACGAAATAACATAACGCTATGTAGACCATGCAATCCGGAGATAAGAATCTATTATTTGTGCAATTTAAGGTTCAGAAAGGATGCAGCCTGTACTACTTGAGGTGAACTTCAATCCAGATTGCAACCGGCTCGTAAAATACCATCCAGATTCTTTTCATCATCTTTTTTCAATTTTATTTCTCGGAGAAGAAACACCTTGGGGCTGCGTGCGACTGTAGGCTGAGGTAAAAAAGTACCATGGGGGTGAATGCTGATATTGGACAGGGGGAGAGAAGGCAGGAGCTAGAAGGCGGAATTAATGACTGAAGAGCCCCTCTTTTGAAGTCGTGCATAAAAATATATGTCCATTCCTACGAAAATAATTATAGATATTATCAAAAATATAAATTTGTGCAATCTGGGGATGGAGACGCTATGAATATTATTTCAAATAAAGCAAAGACCTCATAACGATGTTCAAAAGATGTGCTGCATGCAGAAGACACAATGGCGCATTATAATCTGGGGTTTATAATGCTTGATTTTCGTTAAATATTGATCACAAACACATTTTCAATCGTTGCGGGTGGATGATGCAAGCAACATGATATTTTATGTGTAGATCTCTCGAATGAAAGCATTCCTACTTCATTTTCTATATATCAAACAGTTATAACGCCCTATCGTGGTCATATGTTTTGAAAACTAATTTAATTGATTTTGAAACTGGGCATTACACCAAATCATTCTTATAGTATATATATTTATTTATTAAATTCTGAAGAAATAAATTCTGAATATATTTCATATTTGACTTAGTCGACCAGGGGCTGCTTACATAAACAACCCCACAGGGAGGCTGGCTCCACCAGGGCTATGATTTTTGTATCTGCGCTAACGCAGATATATTGCTATCGACTGTGTAACTGTTAACTGTTAGCTGTTAACTTGTAGCCAATCAGCGACTAATATTCCCACAAATTACGTAATTGCACACCAAGCCTGTTCGCAGGCTAGATTTACAAAATGGCGGATACGAGGAGTCGATGTTTATTTCACATTCAATTTGTTTGGACGAAGTTTTCTTAAGGTAAATAGCCTAGCTGAATTGTCAGTTTTTAGTAGGATGTTCGCTTTATACTTCGCTGTTGTTTACGACATATTCTTGGATCTTACAGTGTTTTTCAAGTACCTTGAAACAAGAGCAAGTATCATAAAGTTATATGACATGTATTGTATAGTAATTTTACCAAATGGCAAATATAATACTAGATGTAAACAAGTGTTTTGTGAAGTATACAAATTAAGCGCTGTGTTCAATGGATCTATGTTTTCAATATTATTTTTATATTAGACATAATGACAGCTGGACTTTCACATTCACATGTACATGATACTGTCTGTATATGTTGTTATAAAGTTGTTTCATAGTTTCACAGTATTATGTAAACGTTCATAGAGGAATTTACATACTGGACAGAGTGTTGTTTTCCTGAATTACCAAATAGTTCGTTTTACATCATTAATTATCTAAACAACAACTGTTGCAATAAACATCATTCGCAAGTTAACTTTTTGTGTGCTATAATGTAGTCTTAGGATATGGTAAGTTGGTATCTTTGTTAGGAATTGAAGTTGTAGATTACTTTATCAAGCTACCACTAAACTAGCACTTTGGTCATCCCAGCCATTGTGTGTAATATTTGTTCAGTTTCTGTAAGCTCTGTTGTATAACATATGCATAAGGAATTATCTGTTTCTTTGCAAAAGCCATATATGCAAAAATACAATTTATAATATAGCAATGTTTATATGTTGTTATAAAGTTGTTTCATAGTTTCACAGTATTATGTAAACGTTCATAGAGGAATTTACATACTGGACAGAGTGTTGTTTTCCTGAATTACCAAATAGTTCGTTTTACATCATTAATTATCTAAACAACAACTGCAAGAATTTATATCACAGATCCTGGTACCTGCTGTAATTAGTTAGTTGCTGTTCTGGTGTTCCTATCATGTCTTCTTCCCCATTTAATTATCTGTACATCATATATCTTATCTACATCTTCTATTAAAATTAAAATTATACTTTTGTCATCTCTCATATGATAAATTTAACCAAAGTAGAAAAATTAACATTACTTATATCAAAACTTTCTTCATTTCAAACAATAATGAACGAAACCTCAAGTGAAAGTTTCAGAAAACAATTAATTGTATTATCAACTCAGACTGATACTTTTATAAATCATTCAATTCTTGTTGCTTTGTAGTACCAAAATTACATGCTTATAGACAGTACGTTTGAACTGTACTCTAGTTTTGCATATCTCAGTTTTTCACTTTTCTCCATCGCATGTTCGATCCCACCATTCGCACCTCGCAGATACATGTACGCTTAGCGTACCTATTTTTATCTCGTGCATACACGAGACATATCAGCCCTAAAATCATGCATATGATTATGATAATTAAAATAGCAATTTGTAGCAGACAATAATATGTGGTCACGTCTCAACTCAGATACATATCGAGCGATGATATATTTTGACGATAAAGCAGAATCGTCAGTCGATGATCGACTTCATTCAACCGCGGACGCTATCAATGTGCGTTTTGAACAAAGAATCCTTTTTATGGCAATTCTGAAATTAAAAGCTAGTGATTTAACTTGCACGGTCTTTTATTAACTGTGTGGTTATTTCATTTATTCATGCATATTTTACAACAATATCTGCACAATGACATGAATAATGAACAATTAATAACTAAAGACTTTCAATATGAATTATGGCCAATATTTCAAGTAATTCTTTATAGTTGTTTACCTTGCTTGTGCTAAAGGTACGTAAAATTTAGTTTCACTTGGAATTTCTAAAACAAATAATGTGCTTCTATTCACCGTTTAAACCAGAAATCAATATCCTCAAGTCCAAAATGTATAGGTTTTACTACGGTTTTACAGCTAATGCTTCTTGAAAATGATGATGTCGATGTTATATTGCCACAGTAGCTCAATAAGAATCCACTATGGTTCGATAGTTAGGATCTACTCTGGTTTAATCCAGGTTATACTGAACAACAAGCATTTTTAGAGCGATTCAAAAAAAAATCACTATCTGGTGGATAGCGCTATCCAGCTTTCGTACTACCGGCCCATGTTATATTCGCAAGGTGTCACCATCTAAATCTTTCTAATGACAAAAGCTTCATAATTAAATCGCCCCTTGCTGCGAGTTTGCATGCATGGCCGTATGTGCTTCAACAACTGGGCGAGGAATAACCAGTTCACTGGGAATAACAGATCACTCGATAGTAAAAAATTTAAGTACAGTATACAGTCTGCAATCTAAGCAAACGTCTTGGCATCCGTGTAGTGAGTATAATTTTGAGAGTTGCACGCAATAGAAAATATTCAACAGTTCAGACTAAATATTTATGAATGGAAGTTGATCAATGTCTTTCCTGTCAATCAACTATTCCAGCCAACCGGGATTGTTAGTTTAGGCGTTATCGTAGAACATGGATTTAACTTTGAATGATCCGTGTTATCCACAGACGATCCCTTTTGAAGAGAGGCAACGAAAAATGTGAAAAGCATTGAAAATAATAAGCGTGAAATCGTCCATTTATTCTTATCGAAATTAGCATTTTTTATCAAAGAAAGCTGCAGAAACAAATTGTGCGATTATATTCATGAAGTAAGATATAATTTAACATCAAAATTTCAATAGCGGCTTTTAAATTACGTTGCAAATGGGAAATATTTATAATATTTACCTTAATATTTTCACAAAACATATCAGAGGCAGAGCATATTTTGTAAAGAGTAAAATTACTTACAATTATCCAAATAACATGCATGGTCGTCGACATAAATTAGCGCTTTGCATTTTCCCTCCCGGAAAATGACTCGACAATATATATAGACATTTCACTGACAATTACTTGATTGTACCAACTGAGTGAGCCGGCACGCAAACAAAGAATTGCATGCATGCGAACGATATAGAAGAACCGAGCAAATCTTATTCATATCCATTAGCGTTTGCTAAAGAATTTTGGCAGGTGGCTGATCACCATATGCAGTTAAACTGAACGGTTTATCAGCGCTATAATTGATATATGAATAAACATGCAGCCAGTTATGCAAGAATAGAACGAATCAATATAAAAATTGTGCAAAAGATTAAGAAAGAGAAACCATTAGGTAAGCAGAACATAACAACCTTTCATGTTGACAAATGACAAAATATCGTTCAACCAAAGAAGTTAAGGTTGGCTCTACTCTCTAAGTTAGCTACTTAAATCTTTATATGAGCTAGAATACATCGAGCACACAACAAGAAATAAGTTAAACCAAGGCACAGCAAAAACTGAAGATGCAGCACGAAAAGGTTATCCTTGCAATCATCGCAATCATTGCATCTCTTGGGAACACTTTAACAGTCCTGCTCTTCATCAAGAATCCAACGTGGTTGAGAAAGACCTATAACTGTTTAATTTTCGCTCTTGCGATTCAAGATATTCTCCAAGCCGTCTGTATCATGATTTTACCTGGATACATTTTGCACGAAAACGTCTATACGTTACCTTCGGACGCAACATCGCGATGGGTATTTTGCAAGATATTCTGGTCCGAATACTTTATCTTCACGTTAGGGATAACCTCTGTGTACACCTGCCTCATGTTGACTTTTGATCGGTTTCTGGCGGTTGTTATGCCTTTGTCTTATAAAAAATATGAACAGTCGAAAATTGTCGTCTTCTTGACCGTGCTTTTTCCTTGGATCGCTGGAATGTGCTTAGAAGTTACAACGCCATTGAGGGCAACCGCGATTGATGTCAACGGCACCGCCAAATGCTCGTGGAAAACACAAGAATTCTCTTCAAAAAATGTTCTCGTCGCGACATTCACGTTTCTGGGCATGGTAATCGTTCCTGGGATACTCATGGTGATAGCCTACAGACGGATTATTGTCCACATGAGAAGATCCCAAAGACGAGTCGCCACAATTCGGAACAATAAGGAAAAGGCCAGACAAACTATCGCTTTAAAATCTCTAAGGAAAGTCACAAGGACAGCTTTTCTTGCCTCAAACGTAATAATCGTATGTTGGCTGCCAGATCAACTCTATTACGCATTGTCCCTAGTGAACTTGACGGAGCTCTGTACGACCACCCATTTCATCGTCAAGAGCATAGCATTTGTCAATTCCTGTCTTAATCCCTTTATCTATTGTTTCTCAAACAGAATTTATATGGAAGGGCTGAGAGAGTTGTTTGGTTGCTTATGCTGTAAAGCACAGGTTGAGCTAAGAAAATCTGATGCTAGTTACACGCAAATGTGCGGCATAGCTACTGCAATTCGACAGAATTTACCTAAGGTAAACCATTAATTACTCCGGCGCCTGCGACAGAGTTGAAAATTCGCCCCGGTTTTGTTTTGTTGTTTTTTTTTGTTTTTTTTTATTTTTTTTTTCGTCGTCGACTCGTCGCAAGTCTCAAATGCGCAAGGCATCTAAATGCAAATATGAACTCTATTGTTCATGTTCAGAAGCTCTGTATTAAAGACTGGCACGTGCGCCGGAGTTAACGCCAGAACAGGCGTCTTGTTATGTTTTAAAGCATAAATCCTGTACTCCTGGATTGGGAGTTAAAATGCATTTCAATCGTCCAAGAAATAATGAAACTGTAGGTAACTGCGTTGAATAGAAATAAATGAATCGTGAAATTAGACGAGGTACAATAACTCGCAGTAAATTTAGGTCTAAAAGAAAAAGAACGTGCAATGAACGTCTTTCACTTTATCGCCGTACTGTGTTACTGAACCTAACTATCGACATGATCAAGCATATAAAGGCAGGGAATCTTTAAAGGAGGAGGCGAAGAGGGTTATTTAGGTGAAAGAAGATGGAAAATGGTACTATAGGGAAAAAGCCTGTCTATTGATTGATTCAAGGGGTCCTAAATTTCTATGCAATTGCATGGTGATGTGTATAGGGACACATATATGTCGCGCGATTTTCTTCATTGTGGAAAAATTATTTGTTTCATCCTACGAAAAAGAGAAAATATATATCGTATTAAAATATATATATTATTCTCCGTGATGACCATGATCATCACTCTCTTTCTGAACCTCTTACTTTTCTCTGTTTTGCTCATATTTGCATTTGAATAGACACCTGAATTTACCGTCTGGTAAAGAAGATTACCAAACTAACAATAGATTACTTTAACTGTTTTAGAACGATATATTGTGTGGTAAGTATCAAGCAAAGTTGGGACGTGTCTTTGTATTATCCTCTCAGCAAGACCCCATTTTGGCTGGGACTATCAAAATTCCATCATATAAACCACTCATTTTGATTGGATTCAATTAATTAACCATCAATACACGGTCTACACTAAGACATTGAGCGTCGCTGCATCCCGTAGGGTTGGGTCTGTTTATGATCCTTGAGATTAAATAAAGTACCTGTGAGTCCTAAACTCAAATACGCTAAAAATGGCAATTCTAGTGATTATCTTATGTTTATACTTCTTTCCTACTTATTTCGATTTTCAGCTGTGCATGCTCTCTGTGTATAAAATCTGAAGATTCCTTATTGGTAATGTCTTCCAAAGACATTATTGCTACATAATCGATACGAATTACTGCGTGATTGGCACTCAGCCTGCCAAACGTCATCATTATATACACAGCAAAGTAAAAGGGTATAAATTGTACCAATAGTTTACAAAATTTTACGATTTTGTTATAGGAATTGATATGTCTATACTATAAGATTTGTAAAATTTCCTTATATTCAAAAATTAATCACCACTGCACTGATCTGCATCAAAAAGAGTATTTTGATATTCCACTGATTGGCCACCCCCCCCCCTTAGTATGGTATCGATTAGCACTAGTACCAGGGAGGTGCAATGCCTGATAAACGTTTGCTGGTTCTTTGTTGTCTTTCAGCGGTCGACATGTAGTTTGGAGATTCCTGTTCTTTGTCTGTCTCACGTACAGCCTCATTTCGCTCAATTTCTTCAATAGCACCATCTGGAGTCTCATAAACAGTCTCATCATTTTGAGTTCTTTGATCATGCCTTGCGGTTTTGTTTGTTTCAGTCGAACTTTTGGAATGCAATCTATGAAGTTATATGCAAATTTAGCAGTAATTTGTGCAATCGATTTTATTTTTGTTTTAAATATTTATACACCATCTAAGCCATCAAAATATTTGACATCTGACATCATAACCAAAGCATGGTTATATTGTTTATTGTTGCATATGATCATGAAACATGCTTGCAACTTTACATAGGACAAGCATTTGACCATTAAAAAAGCGTGGTTACCATGTCAAAATATTTGATTTCATTAACCAAAGGGCATGGTTATATTGTTTAATGTTTGTATATGGGCTAAAAACATGCTTGAAACTTTACATAGTATCAACTGTTTCCTCAATAATCCTTAAATTGAGAGGCATTTGCGGCCATTTTTTAGAGGATTATATTTCAAAATTCTTCCGGACTCCCCATGCAGGCAGGCGCGCGGTTCCGAGCCCCAGCAATACGAAAAACGCTCCGCGGTCCCTGAAAACGCATTATAACAAATATCCCTACCGGGTTGGGATGAAACGCGGAGTACGGAACGGAATGGCGGAAACGGATTCCGGAAGCGGATTCCGCAAATGGGGATAAAACGCGGATTCCGGAAGCGGATTCCACAAATGGGGATAAAACGCGGATTCCACAAATGGGGATAAAACGCGGAACTGCGCAAAAAAAATTAAGGAACAGATAAAAACCCAAATGGGCAAGTTGTCGTCGACTACTCTCCTAAAGTGGTTGACAAAGTTTTATGTATGTAAGCCGTAAAACTTTATTTAAAGACACCAGCCCCGACAACAAAACGTTGATTTCCACGGGGGACGTCTACAAGATTAAAAATTACAAAAAGCTACTAAGAAAATAAGGACTATGTACAAGTTGGTGTGACCCCGGATATTATGGTTAAAAGGTGTTACAATATATTTCTCAGATATTCATTTACGTTGGAGTTAGGTTTCAGTTGAATGCATAAATCGACTCAGTCAGTTTGGTGTCGATAGGGAGCTCCACTATATTTAAAGCTCTTTTTTAAAGATTCCCTGTTGGGCTTAGGAAGAATCAGATCTGCATGACTATTTCTAAGTTCATAGTTAGTTTGCATATGATTGCGTCTAATCAAGGATTCTTTCAACGTGGACCTACGTAATTGTACAAGACTTTGTACATTAGTATTGATTTACTAGTACGTCGTCTTGTCTCTAAGTTGTGCCAATCAAGAGATCGAAGAACATCAGCAGATCTAATGTCATAACTCGCACCTGTTATGATTCGGGCTGCACGGTTTTAGAATTTTTAGAGTTTATCCCTTAGGTTTTGATCACAGACACCCCAAATAGGAGAACAATAGTCAAAGTACGGCTGAATCAGAGCCCGGTAAATTGTTTGGAGGGAGCCAGCTGAGGCCAGTTCAACCTTCAGGGCAAGTTATTTCCAAATAATTTTTCATTAGTTAGCCATACGATTCTAATATGTGTACAAATTTAAACATATTCTGATATAATAGCACCATTGTCTGCGATCCTCAATTGACGTCCCAATCTTAATTAACATTATATCTAAGGGGCTGTTTACATGAGCCCGGCTAGACGGGCTGGCCCGCTTAAACGGGCCAACTTCCAGCCCGGTTTTACATGTAGAAACTTTGGCGGGAATCTTGCTTGCTATTTTTGGCGCGAAAAGTTAAAAATAAACATGGCCAACCTAGGTATGCTTTTTTCGGTTCTTACGGCGATTATTTTGGTTTTCATGCTTTTGCTAGCACAGTTATACAGTTTTCTCATTGTTATCATATGCGCACAACAACATATGTTCCATTCTATTGCTTTGTTGGCATGCGCTGGAAGAAGTTATTTTGCACGAAAAAGAAGACGTGAATCTCACAAAAGGGGTGCAAGAAAACGAAGGGCTGTGTGGGTGCAACCTGGAAGGACAGAATCGTGGTGGACTAAGCTATTAGCAGGTGAAATGCCCGCCGAAGCATGGAAGAAGAATTTTCGGATGACCCGGGAGGAATTTGAAGAACTGACAAACGAACTTCGACCCTTTATTTCCCCAGACCCGTCATCCCCAAACTACATGGCACTAAGCGCTGAAAAAAAGTTGGCTATGACTTTGTATTTTTTAAAGAACACTGGTTCTTTGTCAATGACAGCAAACACTTTTGGTGTAGCTTTTTCTACAGTGTCAAAGCATATAGTATAGAAGTATGTTATGCTATTTCAAAGCATCTTGGTCCAAACTATTTGCATTTGCCAAGAGGTGAAGACCAAATGAGACAAAAGGCTGCTGAATTTGAGACAAAATTTGGAATGCCTCAAGCATTTGGCTGTGTTGATGGCACTCACATAGCAATTAAAAGACCAATATGCAACTCTCAAGAATATTTTAACTATAAACAATTTTTTTCACTAAGCGTGCAAGCCATCTGTGATTTTCAAGGACAGTTCATGGACGTTGACTGCAGATGGCCTGGAAGTGTCCATGATGCTAAGGTCTTTGCGAATTCATCTATCAACAAAAAGCTGAGCAATGGTCTGCTTCCAGTCACATATAAGAAATTATTGCCAGGGCATGCTGAAGTTCCAAACTACTTAATTGGGGACCCAGCATATCCCCTCCTACCATATTGCATGAAGGAATACCAAACATGCACAACAAATGAAGAGGTTATATTCAACAATTTGTTACGGACTGTCCGAAACCCAATTGAATGCGCATTTGGTAGGCTCAAAGCTAGGTGGTCAGTGTTAAGTAAGCGCATTGATTTAAAATTAGAAAATGCACCTGTAATTATCTACTCATGCTTTGTTCTTCATAACTATTGTGAACAAAACAGAATTGGTATTGAGCAAATGTTAGTTGAAAACCAAATGATGTTAAACAAGGAGAATGAAAGCTGCAATCCTTTGGCTAAATACATCAACAATGAAGGTGAAGGAGGGATTGTTAGAAATGTGTTAACCACATATATCAAGTACAATCTGCCAGATCATTTAGTAACTGATTTATAGCTATGTCAGAATACACAGTATGTTCTGGAGAAAGTTGACTTTGTGTTGTCATATATTTTTATGATTTAACATTTTATTAGGCTATACTTGTTCAAACATAACATATTTTTTTCCAAAAATAAACAGAACTAGTACAGATACAGATTAAACTGTTAACCCTAAAATTAAACTCAATTTTGTGAACAATTAAAAAGGTTTTGAGAACTATCAAAATTGTTTATGTTACCTTAATATTTTGTCACTGTACATATAACATGTATCAAGTTGTCAGCTACCTCCTATGTTCATCAGGCACATTAGAATTGATACTAGCTTGCATTCTCTGTTGTGCATTGTCATTTGGCCTTGAAAAATTAAAGTTATTGAATTGTGGATGATGCTGTGGCCATTGTTGTGGAGTTTGTTGCTGTTGCTGATGAGCAAATACAGTAGCTAGCATCTCAATTGATCTTGTCATCCCAGATCCAATATTTTCAATGGCTGCAGTCATCTGTCCAATTGCACCAGCTGTATTTTTTGATGACTCTTTCATAACTTCACACATTTCTTTTTTAAAATTCATTTCTTCTTTGCTCTCTCTCATTAGGATTTGGTCTCGTTGAGCTGCACTAAGTGTACGCTCCATATTCTTTCTCTTATTATCAATGAGCTTCACACATGCATCTTCAGCTTTTCGTTTGTTAACAGATGCACTGGCAGTGATGTCATCTTCCAACACATCCTGACAATCTTGTAATAAATCTTGAGGAAAAGTTTCATCCAATACAGGTGAAACCTCATTTTCCACACTCTCTCTTTCAAAATTAAATATGTCAGTGTCTACACCAGTGCTGATAGGTTCAGATGATGCTGATCCCCCATAAATTTTCACCAACCTATCATAATATGCAAAAACAATTTTGCCGCTTCCACTTCGCCTGCCATTGGTGATTGCACTGCTAAAATTTTGACGTATTTCTTTTACTTTTTCTTGAACTCTTCCATAACCTTTTTTGATTTGATCACGCTGTGATTTTGACTTCTTGATATGAGCATCCTTTTCTTCTTTGGTCATTTCTCTACTCAGTGCACTTTCTGCTTCTGGTGGTCCAAATTCAGCACTATATATCTGCTGCATTTGAACTAGCAAAATTAAATATAAGGCAAAAATTATTTATACTGAATAATACTCCATCACACAAATAGATTAGTTAAATTATTTAAAATTGAGATATATAGTAATATATATGCAATATATAAAGATTGGCAACATTGAACTTTGTGATTGATGAAGGCTTTAGCGCTTGTAAATATTTTCCAAAAAAAGGCCCAAAGCACATGTACATTTAATAACACCTCATGCATGACAAAGGTGACAGTGTTCTTTTCATGAAACGAGACCAAAAACAACGAAATTCAACTGATCAAAGCATGCAGTACGTCTGTACGTGAAAGATCTTGATGCAAGGGTTTTCCCTACCTCTTATCCATTCATATTGTTTGGTACGGTCCGCGTCAAAATCCTTTCCTTCGTATTCACACATGACTTTGTACGTTTCTATGCTGTTTATCAATAGCTCGATCATTTCGTTTGTCCAGCGAAAAGGCCTAACCTTTCGTTTTTCTGACTCAGGTAATGACTCAGGTACGACTTCGAGAGACGCCATGTTCGTTCACTTTTGTTCGTGCACGTATCTGGTAACCATGGTAATCACATTTTCTAGCCCGTTTTGCCGGGCCAACATGTTTACATGCAAAAAATTAAGCTCGGTAAAACGGGCGCCCCACTTTACTCAAGTGAGATCTCAGGAAACCGGGCTAGCCTGGTCTCCATGTAAAATAAATTAGTTTTGAATAAGAAATTGATATGCTACCGGGCGCCTCAGCAAGCCGGGCTAGCTCGTCTATAAGCCCGTTCAAACGAGCTAGCCCGTCTTGCCGGGCTCATGTAAACAGCCCCTAAAGCAAACCTGTCCTAAAATGAGGAAATAATGCCAATCAAGAAACTGAGTCCAAAACGACTAAGCCTTTGTTTCGCGTTTTGCTAAACTATACCAAGGACGTTGGGTGTTCAAATAACAGACTTTATAGACATGCGAGCCTGCCCGTTGACAAATAGAGCGAAAAATCTAAATAATGGTGAGAATTCTGGTCGTCTTTGCGAACAAATTCTTGCAGAATAATTACTGGGTAGCGCTGTACTGAAAGAAAGCAATTCGCCGCCACCGTTTACATACCGCCTTTAACGCTATTGACGTTGAAATTTTAAAGATAAAAATAGAATTCTACGCAGTATTAAGGGCTGTTTATATGACAGCCAGGCTGGCCCGCTTAGTGAGATAGGCCTCTATCTAAGCGAGATCCCGCTGTCTAGTAGCAATACTAGGGATCTTAAGCATGTAGGACGGGAAAACGACGACGGCAGCTATCAATACAATGCTTCGTTGAGAAGAAATTAATTATTAAATACCTGTGGGAGTTTTAGACGTGATCTACATTCTGTTTACAACGGCAGAACGTCGTTTATTACGTCCTATGTAGAACGTCTGCATTTCAGGACCCATTGAGCGCTACCTCGAATTAGGCTCTATAGAATTTTCCCTAAACGTAAACACAGTGTTTTCAATGTCTTATCTCTCATTAAATTGGTACAGTTGATAATATAGAAGAACGCTTTACCATAACATTTAGTTAAAGGAGTATTCCAACCACGTCGTTGTCGTGTTGCCGTCCTACATGCTTAAGGTCCCTAGTGTTGGTTTGAAACCAGGACATTGCTAGGTTTTAAATCTCGATGCGAAATATCCATGTCATGTAGAACTTTCAACGCATTTATAGATTTAAAATTGTACACATATTAAAATCGTATGGCTAACTAATGAAAATATAATTGGAAATAACTTGGAATGCAGTTGAGCTGAAGTTTGAACTTTTTCAACCACTTTAGGGGAGTCGTCGACGACAACTTGCCCATTTGGGTTTTTATCTGCTCCTTAATCTTTTTTGCGCAATTCCGCGTTTTACCCCCACTTGCGCAATTCCGCGTTTTATCCTTATTTGCGGAATCCGCGTTTTATCCCCATTTGCGGAATCCGCTTCCGGAATCCGCTTCCGCCATTCCGTATTCCCAACCCCACACCCACATCCCCACAAAAATGATATGGAGTTTCAGCCGTCAGATGTGCTATTTTAGACGGCAGGAATTAAAAAAAATTTTCATATACTTACGTCAAAATTATCACAAACCAGGCGATTGAAATGATATGGTCATGTACACCCACGGGTGGCATATTAGGGAGTTTGAGCAAGGCAACGAAGTACGAAGACGAAGACAAACTTCACAATTTTTCAACGTCTGCGTATCATTTGCGCATACTCCGCTTAAGGTAAGCGGTGAGGGTTTAACGTCTTCGTCCTGTTGCCCTGGTTTAGGACGAATATTTTGACAAAGTTTGTTGTGGTCAGAACGAAGTTTTCAAAGTAAGATATATTCAAGCCAAATCTTAAATAGTTCTTGTATGGAATATGTTGTTTGAGATTTTTAAACCGTAAAGAAGCATAACATCTTCCACTTCCAAAGCATCTTCTGAAAACATTGCTAAAATAGCCATCTCGTATTCAGCTCTGTTCATGTTTACAAAATTAGTACCGTGTTCGTAGTCGTATAACTTTGACAGAACTGCTCAATTCAAACATCCCGCTGCACGAAGACTTAAGACGAAGACTACTACTCCCAGTCTACCTCGGCCGAAACACGTCTTCGTCTTCGTACTTCGTTTCCTTGCTCAAACTCGCTATTTATCATCGCGAGAGGAGTTTCAGTTGCGAGACCCTTTCCAAACTCAGCGTGTCTAAGAAAAACCCACAATGCGAAGAGACAATGATCGACTGCATCCCCAAGGTGAACAAGCTAGACTCATGAAAAGCACATGCAAAATGTCGCTTTGCCATTGTACTACATATGCATGTAACACCAGGCGCACACGACGCGATTAACAATTTTGATCGTACGATTTTAGGATTTTAGAATTTAGTCGGCAGACTGCAAGCGGAATATATGAAAACAGTTTGATATGTTGTTTAAAATCGGTCGACTAAAATGATATACGAAAAAAATCGCGCCTTGCTTAATGGAATGTTTCTATGTATACCAGGGTCGGCAGTAAACAATGACCGATTTTAATACAGAAAATGTGAAACCGAACTATATTTCGACTTTACGATTATTATGACATAATGAAAACCAGGTTTAATTGGAGTAGTAATTTTGATCATATTACAACAAACAAGGCTTTCTTCACATTATTTGTATTATGAGCCCTTATGGCATATCCATGGCCAAAGTAGTGGATTAAATTTACTCTTATTTGTAGTGTTTAGAATATTTTCAATACAAATTTCGCTTTTTGCTGAAAAACAAGTTCGCACAAGCTTCAGTAGCAAGTAGACGTCCGCATATCCTATGCAATAAACATGTCGGGAATTTATGTTAAAACTAGGGATTTGACATTAACCATAATTAATATTAATATAATTAGACATAAGCAATCGAACATCTATATTTAGTGGTGATTGACAGGTGATAAGAATAATGCTTAGCAAAGCAAGTCGTAGTGTAAAAGAATTGTGATTGTCTGTGAAAGAGAAAGCTTCATTATTAAAGTTATTGGTTTATATAAAGCGGTGAATTTTCTCTCGTTGTGGAGAACACAACAAAAATCTACCACAAACATTTCACGAATCACTTTCCAGTTTAACCTGCATGCATGCATGGCTCAAGCTTACCTTACGGTTTTTGCTTTAAAACAGCATCTATTTATTTAATTTTACGACGTTAACTGTGGTGAACCTCTAAAAAAGGATGTTTTTAATTAATGAGAATACATTCTGCAATGTGCATGTCTCATTATAGCTCTAACAATGAACCTCTTTAATATAACCGCGTTCTCGGACAATTCGAGTCTAGCTTTTATACCTGTATATTAACTGAAGGAAAATAAAAATCCTAGACCCAGTCATCTATTCTCAGTATACTTTCCACTTCTTAGCGCTGCGATGACGCGGTTTGCAAACTAAGTATGAATACTAGAAAACTTTTACGATTCTGGTTTTAAAAAAAGCTTCGCGATTTTTGAGCTCACAGCAATATACATTAATTGTAAAACATGTTTTTCTTCGCCATATTTTTTAGGAAAAAGGCCCAGAGGAATTTTGGATTAGGGGCAAAATTCTCGGGGCAGTGATACTTGATTAATGGTAATTTCTAGATCATTATTCTTTGTAACAAATTTCGAATAAGAGCTGTACAGTTATTTTAGGGGTAAATAATCCTTAGAACCTGATTGGAGGGTGCAGCTTCGCATTTGACTAATTTGTAGAGATATTGCATCCTATATTGGTAAGATTTAAAGCAATCCTTATTTGTTGCTTACCATAATCAAAGCTGTTCAAATCAAATGTTGAGCAAAAAATAGTTTTTGTCTTGAAAAGATTTTCTCCTTTCTGCAAAAGAATATGTCGATATGGACATGTCACATTATAGAATATTTTAGCAGGCAGATAGATAATATGCCTTTATTATAATAATGCATTATTACATGAAGTTTTATTGAAATTCAAGAAACTGTACACGGCTAAAAACTCATCAGGTTGTTGCATCAACATCGAACAATGTTGTGCTGCCCATATTGTTCAGAGTTGTTATCAACTTGGAACAATATTGTTACACCCGATTCAGTTCCAACAATATTGTTCCAAGTTGATAACAACTCTGAACAATGTGGGCAGCACAACATTGTTCGATGCTGTTCATATCAATGTTGCATCAACCTGATCGTTTTTAGGCGTGTATAGAGTCACTTTAAGATAAATTAAAAAATTTCTGATGCTAATCCTATCATGAGGGTACAATATATTGTTAAAAAATAATTGCTAAAACCAACCCATGCCTATGGTTGTTAATGTTACCAGTTTGGTTAGCAATGGTATCTTGGAACCAGTGAATTTATGCTCTTAATCACATGTAAATCTCGGCCTATTTTTTATCCATAAAGCCATGCATTTCATTGTTGTGTTTTTAGGGAAATCTTGCCTTCTAAATGTCCATCTCCCTAAATTGCTTTATTTATTAAAAAATCCTATTTAAACAACATCCTGTTCCTAGGATATTTCTCCAATGGGAGTGTATTCTTTGGTGTCTAACTAAACTGCTACACTGTGAAAATCTCCTATTGCAAACATCACATTCATACGGTTTCTCTCCAGTGTGTATTCTTTGATGTCTAACTAAATGATTGACATGTGAAAATGGCTTCCTACAAACATTACATTCATAAGGTTTCTCTCCAGTGTGTGTTCTTTGATGGCCAACCAAACCACTAACCTGTAAAAACCTTTTCTTACAAACATTACATTCATAAGGTCTCTCTCCAGCATGTGTTTTTTTATGTCTAACCAAATGACCGCCCTGTGAAAATCTCTTCTTACAAATGTCACATTCATACGGTTTGTCTTCAGTGTGTATTCTTCGATGACTGGACAAATTACTACCATATGAAAATCTCTTTTTACAAATATCACATTCATAAGGTCTCTCTCCTGTGTGCGTTCTTTGATGACTAACCAAATGACTACGGCGTGAAAATCTCTTTGTACAAACATCACATTTATAAAGTTTGTGTGTTCTTTCTTTACCTGTTGGCTTCAAGCTGATCATTGTCCCACTATATCCCTATGAACTATGAACTATGAACTGAAGCGACAAATCCTAACGTCTGAATACTCGATTTTCCACGAATTATACCCCTCAGTATTTACACAATGTGCTAGCAATGATATACAGAGGACTTGAATTTCGTAAAACGAAAATGATTGAGAAAAAAACAGCAAATGGAATATTCTCCACTTTCCCAGGGGCAGACCACTGGGGCAGACCACTGAGCTATATAATAATTCCAATTAATTATTATATAGTTCAGTGGGGCAGACGCACTGACGGCAGTTTGCGCACTAGAGTATAACATTAAAAATATTACGGAATCCGCTGCTCTTTTCTCAACACTGACCGATATACGTTTTAAGCTGGACCATCAAATTTTGGTAATGAAACTGAAATATTCGACTGCCTTATAGAAATATGTCTTGAAATAGCGGTCAAAAGCAATTTTGAAGCAGTTTCTCACACTAGTAAATATTTCTCTATTTTGCCCAAAATTAACGTTTTTGCAAAATTTATGCTACGTTAATTAAATGACATATATTTAATTACAAACTTGAGGTATTACACATATCAAAAGTAATCCTGGAGCGGATTTCACAACACGTTTACAATTATAGTCAAAGATATTACATTTTAAAATTTGATAATTGTTCGGACAGTTCAATGTTCGATGATGAATTTACATGGCGCCAAGAACGTGATCCGCGAATGCACAATACTTGTGCTCTGATGAGGGCAAAAGAGATCTGTTTTCGCAGCCAGCTCATCACGACGGACAACCTCAGATGTCGCTTCGTCGCCACCTTATCGGCCAACATGGTGAGGAAATGTTGGGTTTCTTTGCCACAGCCTCCAAAAGCGCTGAAAACAATAGGTGTGAAAGAGCCATGCTCCACTTGTATCACCCTTTGATTATATTGGCGCTTCTTCTCTCTCTCGTTCTTATTGAAAGCACTGGTGAGGCTCTGGTTTCGGTGTGTCGAGGCATACGGGTTAAATACCCTCACATCAAAGAATGCCTTTTCACTTCTTAACCAGAAACCTCGTGCAGCGATATCAACACGAGCGTCATCAGCAGTGTTAGCCCCGGATGGTAAGGGCTCGCCCGATGTTGGAGTGAGTGCTGGTTCAACTGACACATCATGAGTGACTTCGTCTATGGTAGCTGCTAGAAGATCACGTATTTCATCATGGCGGCGGTGGATGAACCCTCCTTTCAGACAGGACAGTGCATGGTCTACGGTGAACGTCTTGCCACAGGCGCAGTGTGATGGTAACCGCTTGAGTTGCCAACGATAACGGAGGTTGATGGCGTCGAAGAACTCCCGCTTACTCAGCACGTACCCTTCCTCAGCCAGCGGAAGAGCCGTTAACCAGGTGGACGAGCCTTTCAGCTGGGCGATGTCATTTGCTCGGGTCTCCTCCTCCGTCATCATGGATCGCAGATCTTCTAGCTGGGCTCGGTACCTTGCCTCGCGCTGTCCCGATAGACGACGACGCACGTTCAGAACAGGCTCTCCTAAAGTGCTTACAACTTCAACATCATTTTGATGGATGATTTTCCTCGTAAGCTCTTGACACACCTGTTCAGAATTCTCATGCTCTGTTGTACACAAATCATGAAGAACTGGTATTCCAAGGCCTCCCAAACGTGTAGGTAACGACAGAAGTTTCCGATCATGCGAAGATAGATGTCGACCGTCGGTGATGGCTGGTAGAAATCTATTGTTGATGACATTGTCAACGGCCTGGAGCTCCTGTTCAATACCTGGTATGGTTCTGATGTGGTACGTGAAGCGATGGCGAAAACCTGAGACGAATGCTGTATAGGCTGCCTGCGGTTCATGTTTAGCGATGTCACTCAAGATACTAAGCTGGCTGCACCAACGGTCCACCAATGAACGCAAGTAATCACGTTTGCCTTCATCAGAGCCAACATATCCACCAAGATATTTGTGGCCCTCCACTGTCACACGAACATCTGTTCCTGCGAAGATTTCTTCTGCTGCTTCCACGAATGTGGTTTGACAATCAACCAAGACTTATCACCCCGTTGATAGTCCCAACAGAGGACCGTGTTTTGTGATGTTATCCCACCAGCGTCGAAGATCTAGTAGCTTCCCAGCACCACTGAGGTCGTCTGCGAATGCAACATGTCGGACGGAACTGGTTGTGTCATCCTTAATCAGTTCAAGAGGGGGTGATTGCGATAGCATATAGAGGCATCGAGATAGGATCCCCTTGAGTTGTCCCTTCAGATGAAGAGACTTCCTTTCCTCCCTGAACGAAGAGACGAGATGGCTGAACATAGCAGTTAAACGCGTAGATCGCAATCGCTGGGCAGATGTATTGGATGTTGTTGCAACATCACCTTGCGATTGACAGAGTTAAAGGCGTTAGCAGCATCTACCAGTAGCATGGCATCCGTCTCTTCTTCGTCAAAGATGTGCGACATCGCATGTACAGCGGATTCACAACCAGCTTGTTGGCCAGCACATAACTGCAGATGTCCCGCGCTTGCTACTATTTGAGGCTTGATGGTGTAGATTATCGATTTTCCGATGATGCGACGAAGGACTTCACCAATTCCAATAGGGCGCACACCAGGGTTCTTATCGAGAGGAATAAGACGGCACGCGAAGTAGGCCTCAAGGCTTTTTGACTGATTGTTTGCTACGTCCATCTTCTTGGTAGCAAGGACCTTTGCCATGGTGGCAATAGACGAACGGAGGTCTTTCCCAGCATTGCCATAGTTACGAGAAACCAAGATGTGTCTCCAGCCTAAAGCATCCAATCCTGACGGACCAGCTGCGCCATTGGTGTTCATAGCGGCCTTGGTGATCATTGACTCATCAATATTCTCAAACAACACTGGATCCACAAATGGTAATTCACCTTCCAACATTACAGATGGGTTACTTTCTTTCCCATTAGGATGTTTTAGTCGTAATTCATCAAGCACTTCATCTGACAGAGGTAGCACACCACCGCATGACTGTTCATCCAGCAAGCGCAAGGCTGCGTTTACTTTACCACGTAACATGAGGCTGGCGAATGTCTTAGATAGGTGGTTCATATTAGGCTTCTTGTTGGATCTTAATGTTGCCTGAATAGATCTACATTCACGCATCAATGTGTCAAAATCCCCACGTTCCCACAACTCTAGGCGTCGTTTCAAACAAAGTGAGTGTTCTTTAGATCCTGATTTAAATCTTGGTTTCTGCAGTAGAACGGCTGGCATAATCATGACTAGTTTCAAGGAAATTTCAGACAAGTTTGTTGCCGAACTATTCCAAGCATCAATGATCCGAGTTATTTCCTTAATAAAGGCTTTTCCGGCAGCTCCACTCGGTAGCATAAAAATATTTTTTCGCCAGAAGACGATCTCCTCGTAGATGCTATTTACGATTTGCTTCAGGTCATCGTTCGTGTGGCATCCCCAAATCTGCGTTGACTGTGACGATGTTGAAATAGTACTGGCTGTAGAATTTGATACGGTTGTATCGTTTACAGGCATCGATTCACCGGAAGAGTGTTTTTTTCTACAACATTTTAGGTGTAGTGATCGCCCGCGTTCAGTTCCAAAACGTCTTTCACACAAATGACAAGGGAAATCTTGACCTCTTGGTTGCAACATCGTTCTCATTTACGCGCGCAAACGCGCAATCAACCACTGTATTTTGAAAATGACGACGCACGCGCGACAACGGACAAAAGTACGAAAATACTCTCAGAGACAGTAAATTGCACAAATATACCAATATAAAGTTTCTAAATCTCCCACTGTTTAAGCACAAAACCTTTCCCAACTGTACACACGATGTAAATGTTCATATAATAAATAGGAACTGTGATAATGTCCCGATACCGTAACTGCCACTAAGGAATCGAACCCACTCGGCGAAGCAATTGAAGAAAAAACACTCAAAAATTATCAGTCAGTGATAGTCCTTATCCAGTTCCAAGGACGAACTCTTTATCCAATATACCGTGTATTATATATTATATATAATTATATATTACATATTACATATTACATATTATATATTATATGTTGTATGTTGTATGTTGTATGTTTTATGTTGTATGTTGTATGCTGTATGCTGTATGCTGTATGCTGTATGTTTTATGTTATATGTTATATGTTATATGTTATATGTTATATATTATATATTATATATTATATATTATATATTATATATTATATATATATATTATATATTATATATTATTATATATATATTATATATTATATATTATATTTTATATATTATATATTATATATTATATATTATATATTATATATTATATATTATATATTATATATTATATATTATATATTCATGTATTCATGCCGAATGTGACGTCATGTGGAAAGGTCTATACTAGTGAGCTATCTCCTTACGCCCTGGGGCACGATATATTTGACAACTGACAAGGAACCATAGGACAAAGCTCTATATTGCGCGCTAGGCTTAAGGAGGTCTTAGCGGTTATAAATGAAGACGTTTTAATGTAAGAAGCTAACATCAGAGGGTAACCTCGTTTCAAGGGTATTCATTCTGCCTTTTAGAGGACAATGTAGATAGATAGATAGATAGATAGATAGAAAACTTTATTACTCTGTCAAAGATATCTAGCCGGTTACTGCAATGACCTACTAATTGAGGACACTTACTATTAGTTATTATATGTTATATCTAACCTAAACACTATAAACACAAGTGCTACGAGATCTATCATACATTAGTCGGTTATACTTCGTTATCCTTTTATACGGATGGGAATGGTTTTTCAATTTCTATGTTACTCTGCTACAATACATCTCAAATTGGTTTTTCTAATCCTTCGCTTGAAAACAGATAGGGAGGTCCGATTTCTATCTTCTGAGCTTAACTTCGACCAAAGGTAAGGACCATGAAGAATCTTAGCGAGTTCTTACCGTATTTTACAGATTTAAATCTCGGTATGAAAGTCTGAATTTTTGAGGTTATAGTTTGTTGGTGATCTTGTGAAAATATCAAATATATTATTCGGTAGTAGCCTGTGTTTTACCGGCTTTAAAGTTTAAACTTAAAGAAACTTTCATGTGCATTCGCTATATTTGACGAGGGCACGTGTTATAACTAGTTATTACGAAACGTTATACGAAAGTATTTCTGTTTATGAATTAAGTAAAAAGTGTAAGAAATGATGAGTCGGCAAAGGTAAAAAAGTGTGGACCAGATAGTTTTCTTGACTTCGTGCATGAAGTCACATGCAGATGCAGAAAGGTTTAATTAATAATAGGCTATTAAAGAAGTCATAATCGCTGCTAAAACGGAACACAAAACTAATACGCTGTTCTCGATGGGTCCGCGACCCATTTTACTAGTTTTGCAACCATCGTCGCCAGTCAGTTCTGGTTTGTATGAAGCACATTCTTTATCGTTGAGGCAATTGAGGATTGCCTTAGCTTGTGCCAGGCCGGTCACGTAGCCACCTTGTAGAAAACCGAAGTATTTTTCTGAGGTTGCCTCGCCTGAAAAAAATAGGTTGCCAACTCTCCCTGCCAAATGTTGGAAGTCCGCGTTTGTACTTCCCACGACAGGATTGCTGTAGGATCCACGTACGTACTCATTTGTCACCCATTTTGATACAACTACGTCTACAGAAAAGATACAGACATATTATCAGTCGAAAGGAATCGTGCATGCATGGGGTAACATTATATAAGTACTTAGTTAGACTGAAACCGGATCACTGCAGGGGGTTGATAAACTGAGACGATTTTATATGAGGCCTGTGGAATGGTGATACTCTAATACTCCAGCTATGCATGACATTTTGCCTCGCTCATTCGAACAAACGGCTTTTAATACAGAAAGAAGCAGAAAAAGAAACAATTTCGGGCAATGAATATCTGACATGAATTGTATATAATACCTATGTTAAATAAATTGTGAAATGTGAAGCAAAGCTTCGATAATATATTTTATTGTGTTCACTCTGAAATCAATTGTTTTCTTGCATTTAATTATACACTGGCGGTCAAAAAGAACTGCTCAAATGTTGTTATTATCGTATGTAACAGGAATCGTAACAATCAATCTTTTATTGTACACTAGCGGTCAAAAAGAACTGTTTAGATACAAATTCATAAAAAAGAATGATTTATGCGTTGCTGTAAAGACTGTCCATAGGATGAATTTCTTTTCACCGTTAAGATTACCACCTTAACAGAAAGTATGACACGCCGGTGTAAGGCCGTTATCAATTATAAGGCCAAAGGAGGGTCAACAAAATATTAATATTCTATATAGCTTAGCATGTAATATAGTCTATATTTACTCGTATATATTGTTAGAGTGACAGTTACGTTCATTTGAGAGCAATTTAACTTGTTTTCAGCAGTTCTTTTTGACCGCCAGTGTAGTTAAATACAGTACGATACGGAAATTCTCGTATCGCATCGGTTAGTGTTAATCAGCCCTAAAATAGCCGCTGAAGCGATGGCCAATGCACTGGACCAAAAAAGCCTGCAACCCAAGAATCCGGGGCAGTTGTTCGAAAGCGGTTTAGCTGTCTCCTTTCCAAAATGCCTTAATTGACAAAATATACAAACTATAGACAAACTATAACCCTAGCCAAGAATACATTTAAATATGTTCCAATTCTTCATGTTGGAAAAACTAGAATCAATAAATGGAGCATTACAAATCTGAGCCGGTAAATCAAATCTGATTGATGCTTTCATGATGAAATATGCAGCTGTAATTTAGACAGTTGCCCAAAGCGAATCGTTATTATTGAGAATAAAATATTAAGACGGGGAAGTTAAAATCATAAAATTTTACCGGTAGTTCAATTGTTTTAATTCCCTAGCCTAGTTCCAGGCATCTTCCCGGACCCGGTTTCGGTAATGTTTCGTCTCGCGGTCATAAATAAAGGGAAATCGAAAGGAAAGAAAGGAAAATAAGGAAGCGAGAGGTTTAGAATACTAGTCTATTAATTCTCGTGGGCATTGTCCCAGTCTAGCGATCAGTGTACTCACCTGTGGGATAAGGGATATTTTCGTCCGGATACATTCCTTTCAATGTCTCCATCACCTCTTGCACAGTTGTATTTTGAGGTTGCATTTCAGTGCGCACGGCATCGTCTCCCGTAGCAACAAACATAAGAAGATTAGATCCTGGCTGGATTCCTCGCTTGTTTCGGTTGAAAATGACGGGAAACTTTGCACGGATACGTCCCGCGTCAAGTAAATATTCATTGTCCTCCCAAAACACGTGCTCAAAACGAACGATAACAAAAGTAAAATAACCCATCGGGATATTGTTTATAGCTCTTCGTTTCCAGGAAGGGAGTTCAGGAACAAAGTTTACAAACTTAGGATCCGCTAAAACGCCTGTACTGAAAGTGCACAAAGCATATTTAGCCGTGAACACAGAACCATCGTTTGTCTGAACGGCTACGCCATTATTAGTATAGTTAATTCCTCTCACCGCTTGACCTGGTAAAAAATTAAAAGAATAGTAAATGAAAATTAAATAATTTATTAATTAATTTATAAATAATCAATTATCGGATGTAGGTTTTGGGAGAATTAATTAGGTCTAATATTTGAGTTATCATTAAAGGCGATGTTAGACTATGCAACTTTACTTACAATGCAATTCTATAATTTTGAGAGATGTTAAGTTGTATAGAGTTTTCGAAATGCTAAGAAAACGTTAGCAGATCGTAAGAAATGTTCTTGATTGACAACTTTAGATGCCTCAGGGGTAGAATTGCATTACAACTTGGAAGGAAAGTTGTATAGTGTAACACCGCCTTAATTTGTCGAGATTTTTGTACCTGTATAGCTTTTCTTTTAAATGCATGTTCCCCATAAATGTTTATCCTCCCATATTAATTGTGCTTAACAACATTATTTTATTTTATATTTAAGAAATAGAAAACATTTTCCGTGTTTCTATACAGTTATAGAAGCACGCGTGGGAGTTTGGGAGAACGAGAAATAATCAGTGGGAAAACGAGCCCGTATATAGGGCGAGTTTTTCCACGTTATTTCGAGTTCTCCCAAACTCCCACAAGTGTTTCTATAACTGTATAGAAACACAGGAAAAAATGTTTTCTATTTCTTTAATAATATAACTCAATAAAAAGATTTTGTACAAATATTATAATTCGATTCAATTACAAATTCTCATTACATCGCTTCGCTTGTCAAGTTCGGCGGGAAAATTCCCGTGTTTCTATACAGTTATAGAAACACGCTTCTCGACCAATCAGCACGCGCGTACTATAAATGTTATATTATAAATAATATTAATTCTAAAATAAAAGCTTGCAACATTTAATTGGCCACCTATGATTGCTTATAATGCAGCCTCGTCCACTGCGCGTGTTTTCGTTTTATATCAATTAATTGCGTGATTTTTGTCTCGCTGGAGGACACGCGCAGAGTGACAACGAGGCGGGGAACGCGCCTGGCAGAAAATGTGTCGAAAAGTGAGATTTGCAGATTTTGCAACCTTTTAAAAATTTGAAGAAGAACAATGGTCGAATAAATTAACATTTTTTTTTCAGAACGTGACTAATCGAAGGTAAAGTCGTATATTTTCAACCTTAATCTTTAATAATAAATATCTTGACGTTTATAAAGCCGTATGAAATATGAATATTTCTATGATTTACTGTAGGCAAAAATCTTTTCGACAGAAAATTCATTTCGACACAACATCTTCCCTGCCCTGAAAGCAGTATGTACTAGTCTTTCCACCCTCGAAATCGCACATAAGACATCTTCTGCAAAAACATGATATCAACCGGCCAGAAGGAGGAGCATAGAGTCACCTATACTTGCTATAGTACAGCATATGCTTATTGGCCAAAAAATGTCATCAACTGGCTAGTAAGATGGCGGAAAACATTTGTGAAAATTTTTCCTCGATCGAAGAGTTTCAAGCCGCAAGCCGAAAGCCGCTTCAAGTTGAAAGCCGCTTCAAGTTGAAAGCCGCCTTTAAAGCAATTGTAGATACAAAGTGTGAAATATCAAACGAAAATGAATAACCAGCAAGTGCTGTTGGATTATATGTGTTGCAGTACGTACTGTTGGACGATAACCTGCAATTAGACCAATAAGCCACGATATTCACCAGGGTTAATCGGAATGACTATACTATAACATTGTTACAACCGGTACCTGTTCGAATTTTATCTGTAAAGTTCTTTGCTAGGTATTGGACTATCAACGCATAACCCCGTCGATCTGTGACAACGGAATCAATAATTTCACCTCCATTAGATTGTGTGAAACTTCGCGTAGACGTTAATTTAGCACTTATAGCGTTCTCGTAGTCGTAATAATACCATTCAATCGCGCTTTTCAAGGGAGTATCAGCTATCCAGCCCGCGTCTGCCAAAGACGAACTAAGAGGAAGATCTTGATGAAGCAAAACTTTCTCTTTGTCCTTTTTCACCTTTTCGGCGGCTGCGTCCAGTTCCGCCATTACTGCTTTGAAGTTTGTATCGTTGTCTATCGCGTTTCTAAAACAAGTAATAAAAATCTTAAAATCCACTTGCTCGTGTTAATCTTTAGTTATAATGGAAATAGTTACAACAAGCTTGCCCAAAACAATTAAGTTTTAACGATGTTTTCAATTCAGTGCTACATTATTGTTACGTACAGCTTCTACCCTCGTCCCTTGAGGCAGGGCTCGAGGTAACTTCCCCTCGATGCCTCCCTAATGTTATGGTCCTCAATGCGAGATCGATTTTCAACAAAGTTGATGAATTCACAGTTCATATTGAAAACCATAAATCAGATATGATTTTTGTATCTGAAACATGGCTCTCTGAAGATATCCCGAATGAAGCAATTCATATTGGTGGCTATAACGTCTTTAGGAATGATAGAGTGGGAACTCGTGGCGGTGGCGTTGCCCTCTATATTAATGACAATATTTCTGTGAAAATTAGAAATGATCTTAATAGTTCATTATTTGAATGTTTGTGGATGACCGCTAGACCAACGTGGTTGCCTAGAAAAATATAACGATTCGCCTTAGCATGTATTTATCTCCCACCATCCCTCTCATCTAATGACTTGGAAATCTTCTACGAGTATTTCCAGTCCTGTTACGATACCTTAATGTTGGAAAGTTGCGATACTGCCCTTATTATTGCGGGAGATTTTAATCCAAGCAGTAATGGGTTTAGATCAAGAGTTTTGAATACCCATCGCAATCTCAAACAGGTAATTAATAAAGCGACAAGAAACAATAGTATTTTGGATCTCATTTTTACCAATATAAAATCCCTTTATAAAGACCCCGAAATCATCGCCCCACTAGCATCCGCGGATCACAATATGGTAGTCTGGTGCCCCCAAATACAACGTCCAGGAAACAATGTAACAAAGAAAGTGACTGTAAGACCATTAAAGTCATCTGCTTTGGAAAATTTTCGCTCGTTTTTGGCCTCTTACGAATGGGAAAATGTAATCTGTGCAGACACTGTCGACGACAAACTTGAGGAGTTCTTGGCAGCTACTAACACTATGATAAATGATTTCTTTCCTACAAAAACTGTCAAAATCCATGATAACGACAAATACTTTATAACCGTAAAATTAAAGAAATTGATTAATGCGAGGAACAAAGCATTTAAACAAGGGAATCTTATATTGTTCAGATCACTTAGGAACCAAGTAAAACGTGAAACCCGGTTAGCAAAAGTGAAGCATAAAGATAAGATTTTAGGCAACTGTAATAAAAACAGCTCAAAATGGTGGAAGAATATCAGTCAATTAACGGGCAGAAACAAATCTTCAAAGTTTTTCCTAAGTGACCCTGAAAGTCAAGCTACAATGAATGATAAGGAAACTGCTAATTATATTAACAATTTCTTTGCAAGTTTGACCGAAGATTTTCCCGACGTCCATGAAAGGTGGTTTGAATATGGCGCGGGTGAGTCCTTACCCATAATTACGAAAGAATCCGTTTTGACCAAATTGAGAAACTTAAAAACTAACAAGGCATCTGGTTTAAATGATCCCAGTAAATCCTGAAGATATTTGCGGAGGCTTTCGCAATACCACTCACGCACATCTTTAATGAATCCCTCAAATCAAAGTGTTTCCCAACCACCTGGAAAGAATTTGGGGTCATACCAATCCCAAAGTGTGTAGCTTGTACTAGCGCTGAACAATTACGCCCCATTGCACTAACAAGTGTAATTTCTAAGCTGCAAGAATCATATGAAGTTAAATGGATAAACGAGGATGTTGAAGGAAAAATTTCGAAAGCACAGTATGGAGGACAGCCTGGATCGTCTGCCGTTCTTGCCCTAATATACTTGGTCCATAAGTGGCAGAAGGCTCTGGATGCCCCTGGCTTCGTAATTAGGCTAATGTCTAGACTTCCGCAAAGCTTATGATCTTATTGATCATAATAATTGCTTGAAAATTGTTCTAAAATTGGCATTCGACCAGCACTGATATCATGGCTTGCATCGTATTTGAGTGGTAGAAGTCAAGTTACGAAATTTGGAAACGAGTTATCTGAAAGATATACTATACATGGAGGTGTACCTCAAGGTAGCAAAATAGGACCTGTTGCATTTATTGTGCACTTAAATGGACTTCCTTCAGTATCGAAACAATCAGAAGTATCTGGTGAAGATTTTGAAGGTAATGAGGATGACGATGATGTATCAATATTTATGGACGATACCACAATCTCTGAAATCATAGATATAAAAAATCACACGTCAGGTAATGTCATTGGCAACGCTACAAGGAACATGAGCCAAGTTGCGAAGTTCACTAAGGAACAAAAAATGGAATTAAACTTGAAAAAGTGTAAAGAAATGCTCATCGATTTAAGAAGGAATAAAACTGTCATACCACCGGTGAAAATTGATAACCACACGATTGAAAGGGTTAGTACGTATAAACTATTGGGTCTTTGGATTGATGATGATAAGTGGAAGACAAATACAGAGAAGATAGTAAAAAAGGCTGCTAAACGACTACTCCTTCTTAAAGTATTAAAATCATATGGTGCAATTCCTGATGAATTAAAAAAATTTTACATCACAGTCATCAGACCAGTCCTGGAATATGGAGCTCAGGTATGGCATGGAGGGATTACTAAGGAACAGTGTAGAGATATTGAACGGAATCAAAAACGAGCATTGAGGATAATTTACAAGAATGATGATTATGATGAGAATCTTCATATTGCAGAAATAGAAAGTTTGGAGAATCGGAGAGACCGCATGTGCATAGACCTAATTAAGGATATGTCGAATGAAGACCACAAACTGCATAAGTTACTTCCAAAGAGAATTGGAGAAATTAGAAAGAGGGAAACAAGACTAAATAGTCAAAAGTACTATAATTATAAGGCAAATACAGAACGATTTAAGAACAGCCCAATTACTTATGCAATCTTAAAGTATAGTGAATTTTTATCTTAGGTGTAGTAATCTTCTTATAGTATATATAGTTTTAATGTAGTCTTTTATTGTTATCATAGTTTAAATATAGACTTTTTATTGTAATGCACATAACAATTTAGCTGGTAGTAGCTACTAGAACTGTGTATTTTACCCAATAATAATAATAATAATAATAAAAAAAAACAAACTTGAGCCAATCAAATGCGGCAAGTCTATCAGATTAACCAATCGCAAGCGCAACAACTTAGGGAAAGATAGCGTTGGTTGTGCAATGTGGAAAAGGTATCTTGATCACCTTGATACTATATAAGAATAATAGGATGTCGAATCCTGGAAGATAGAGCCAGTGCATATGGCTATGAAAACTTGTGAATTTGGATTTAAGTAAGAAATATAAAAGAGCACAGCGGGAAAATGCATCATCCAGGGACACACATCCAAACAATTTGGTGGTGCTATCGTAATGTATACAACTTGTATATTACTGAACGTTACATTTTCACTGCTCTGGCATTTTCACTGCTCTGAAAATTCACGCCGCGTTACCGCGTTCCGTTCGCTCTGTGTCGACCTGAGGAGATTAAAAATTGCGTGAGGAAGACCGATCTATCTTAAACGTATGTCACTTTGTCCGGTAAAGGCCCGTCTACACTTGCAACTTTTGCTGCGATTTTACGTTCCTTTTTTCTTCTTTTGATAGATGTGAAGGAGTAAATCAGTTGCTGATGTTTAAATAAGGGCTCTTATACACCAGAACATTCGTAACTAATTAGTTGTTCGCATATGTCAAAGGAAGAATCCACGGCATAAAATCGCAGCAAACATCGCAAGTGTAAACGGGCATTAAAGTCTCAAAGACATCCGCTATTCCTTTAGATGAAGGGAAAGAAGCTCCATACATACTTTAATCACCGAGCCAGAGGCGACTAATTGAATGTTAACGTTTTAGTATAATCTCGGTGAAAAAAACTTTATTTATTGATAAAATAAACAACTATAAAATTAATATAAACGGATTTTATGAATATAATTGATTGACTTCCGTTTTTGACTCACGCAACCTAAAAATTAAACAGCTACTATAAAAGTTTAAATCAACAACAACATAACAGAAAACTTGGTCAAATAGCAATGGTTCTAAGTGTCTCGCATTTTATAATAAATCGTGCATCAAAAGCATTAGTTTATTACAAAGCGACTGGACTGAATTGGTTAATTTGTTTATTATTGAATTGATGTCGCTCCCAACTAGTTTTGCTGCGGCCGTGCGATCTTGAATTGCAAAATAAATCGCTAAATAAAAGTATATTGCTAAATTCAGGTCACTTTTAAATCATTTCACACCATATTTTGTTATGATTGCTTTTGTTTTCACCAGAATGGCAGAGAAGATCGCTTTGTTTTCACCCGAATGGCAGAGAAACTCGCCTTCCTTCGTTGTCTATGAGCGAATAGTCAACTCAGGCTTCGCCTTCGTTGACTATTCGCTCATAAACAACTCGGACTCGTTGTCTAATTGTTAAAGGATAGGGGTATTTTACTGAGATATATAATAAGCTCCTAACTATAGATTACACTGAACCGTTGTCTGTTCACTTCACTGCCACTGGTTCAGTTATAGATACACGCGGTATGACGTCATTTGCGATGAGAACGAAAGTGACCACTCGTTAACCATTGGAATGAAAGGACGGCTTGTGGCCACTTTCTTTGTTCTTATGAGAAATGACGTTATACCGTGTATTTATAAATGAAGAGACAACGGTTCAATGTTATCTATTTGTCAATTAATATGCACATATCGTATGCTCGGCAAACCTGACAGCAATATCGTTATAGTCACTTTGATATCTGGTGAGCTTCAGTATATCCGCGAGTTTCAGAATAGGATTTTTATCACCTTAATTTAAAATACAGCAGAGTTGTTATCATATGTAAATCATATCAAATGTAATCATATGCAATTCTAATTAGACTTCGAGTATCTATCTATCTATCTATCTATCTGCGGCCAACGTTTTTGCAAACGGGTGTATATATATATATATATATATATATATATATATATATATATACCCGTTTTTGCAAACGGGTGTATATATATATATATATATATATATATTTTTGGTCGTAGCTATATTATCATTTTGTAGACAGACTCAGGAATGGTGACAAAAACATAAACATGCAATCAAAACCTAATTTGTTTCAGTTACTAAAACCCACTTCATATTGGTCCATATATTTTAAAATAAAAAAGTCAAAAATTTTCGGATAAACCTTTAGAAACAAAACAAATTCGCTTTCGCTCGAGCATATATACAACATAAAAAACGCGGCTGTTCTGGCGTTAACTTCGGCGTTGCAACAGTGCCAGTCTTCAATATAAAGCTTCTGAGCACTGAACACAAACATTGAAACAATACACTGGTTCATACTGATTTAGGGGCCGATTACATGGAGTGTTCTAACCGGGCTGAAACTTCAGCCCGGGATTGTTATAAAATCCCAACAAAGTCGCGCACGCGATTACATGACAAGAATTTCAACTGAAACTTCAGCCCGGGCTGAAACTTAGTGTTGTTGTCATGTAATCATAAATAAACTTAAACCTGGACAGAAAAATTCTCCTTGACAATGCTTTTTCGTTTGTTCATTTCATTCTTATGTGCAGTCATAGTCCCTTAAAGGTCATTGCCAGACAAGATGGCTTGCGAACCTAAAATGTTTTTCGACATTCAGAAGCACATCGTACTTTAAAAAGTATAGAAGTTCAAAAATGTAAATAAATCACATGATATGTTTACGTTCACTTTGTCTTACACTTTGGAATCCCCGCTTATATTAAAAGCTTTTGTTCATATTATAACCTTAAAGCTTATATTAGCCTGTAATATATGTGTAATGTGTTCGCAAATGTAAACGGTTCGTTTGATTTTTCAAGATGGCCGTCAGTCGCCATTGGCGTGTCTATCACAGTGTGCTGGTACCGTGAGTACAGTGAATACAATTATTTACTTTATAGAGATGAAATTCAACAAAATGTCTGAGATCAATTCACTGAATCAAGAGAAATCATGATGAAAGTGTGGAAGTATTAAACAGTACAGAGGGCGATAAAAACTCCGCCGAATGCGATAATGTGGACAATTCGATTGCTGAACTCACAAAAAAAGGTTGTCTGAAAGGGCTACGAAATTTTGAAGATCTTCGCCATGTTATTGATCAACTACAATTACAGCCTGGTGTCTGGACAAGCCCGGGTGGAAAAGTTTCAATACGATGGTACACAAAGAGTAATAATGTATAATGTTTACACTCTAATTGATCGATTTCGTGCATCAATCATTTTAATAAATGTTCAGAAAGCATTTTAAACAATATTTGAATTTCAAACGTTTCATTGATGGAAATGGCATGGTAGAAAACACGGATACCGGATAGTCGGATACCGGATAGTCTGATACCGGATAAACGGATAGACGGATAGACAGATAAACGGATAGACGGATAATATATTCATATGATCAGAATTTTCTTAATTAACAATGATTAAGAAAATGTGAAATGGCTCATCAATGTTTCGTATTCAATTATGAAAAGACAAGTACCGGAATGTGGTTCTCACAAATTGAAATATTAGTCAAGTTAGTCATACTCATGCCCCCAGCTTAATACATGAAATATATGAACAAGTTTAAATTGAACAAATATACATCTACAATCCACGCGTAGAGTCGTATTAACTCGATATGAAATAACAAATCATGAAATAACATATCAAATATGAAATAACATATCTAGCTGTTTCGTAAAAAAGAAGCATAATTCAGTTTTGGTCGCATTCCTGTTCCACCAAATGATTTAGTTGTTGTATCCAAAATGTCCCGTGAGTATTCATACTAAGGACAACCGAGGAGTAAAGTAGGTAATGTGTACTTTCACTTCAATTTGTCGTGCGTCAGACGCAAAGAACGAAACTTTCATTCGCACCAGTTGTGTCCAATCGCTCCAGCAATTCAAGCAAACCTCCAGTTTATCCATGGACATCATTTGAGGAATAATTTTGGAATTTGAGAATGCAACGGACATAAATTAGTATAGGGGTTTATATATTTTATTTGCTTTTAAAATGAACGTTTTGTTAGGGTATAGCGAGGACTTAGATAGCTATACAACATTGCGATATACTTGTCTTAAAAAAAATCTGTGGCATGAGCCAACCCTGATCATATGAATAGGTGAACTGGTCATTATTCTCATACTTTATTTTGTTATCCGTCTATCCGTTTATCCATCTTTACGCGTGGATTGTAGATGTATATGTTTGTTTAATTTAAACTTGTTCATATGTTTCATGTATTAAGCTGGGGGCATGAGTATGACTAAAGTTAACTTGACTAATATTTCAATTTGTGAGAACCACATTCCGATACTTGTCTTTCTATAATTGAATACGAAACATTGATGAGCCATTTCACATTTTCTTAATCATTGTTAATTAAGAAAATTCTGATCATATGAATATATTATCCGTTTATCCGTTTATCCGTCTATCCGTTTATCCGGTATCCGACTATCCGTGTTTTCTACCATGCCGATGGAAATGAGTCATATGGTGTTTTTGATGATCGTGTTGAATGTGGTGCGCGCTTCACAATGGTTATGATAACATGGGTGACTTGTATACAGGAACAATTCGTATATATCGGAAGGTGGGGAAAATATTAAATCATTTCGTTTAATATATAATTATGCTGTAGGTCAAATGTGGTATAACAACTGCCTAAAACAAACAAAACACTTCTCGACGTTTCGACCTGAGGGCCTTCGTCAGGAGAGTTTATATAGCTATACTAAACTCTCCTGACGAAGGCCCGCAGATCGAAACGTCGAGAAGTGTTTTGTCTATTTTAGGCGGTTTTTATACCACATTTGATGCTAAGTTTCTTTAAGGCGCTGCCACGCTGCTCCCTGGTTATCAACTTATGCTGTGCCTGTACGTCGTTTGGTTTATGTCGAATTTGAAGCTAGTACAATATAAACATATCCACGTGACCCCATTGAATGAAAACGTAAATGTAACGTTGCAACTAAGTCATAACTCTTACCAACCTTCTTCGACGAATGATATCCAATTTGCACCCTCACTAACCGTCGAATTGCCAACAGTGCGGTTCTTCAATCTTCCCCCTATGTAGTCCTGTGCTTCAAGCACCAAAAAGTTTTTGTTGCCGTTGTTATTGAAGTAATTTGCCGCCGATATTCCTGAGATACCAGCCCCCAAAATGAGAACATCAACTTTAGTGTTTTCGCCCGCTGACTGGTAAGCAATGACAAAGAAAACGAGGCAAAAACAAAAGACGTTGAACATTTTTCGCAACGATGATTGAAAAGGCTTGTGCCGGAGATGACAACAAAGGCTTGTGCCGTGAGATGACAACAATGAGAGCAATGGTCATATGTATGTAACTGCCGTACGTATTCCATAGTGATTGCACAATATATACTGCGGATAGTGCCCCCCCGCGGATAGTGTCCCCCACGTGAAAGTCCAAAACAAAAGTTAATATTTGCTAGAAAATATATTTTATATAAAAAATTTGCTTAGTAATACATTTTAACTACACAACTACATACTTAACTACATAAAGGAACAAGAATAGCAATAATTTATCTTTACATTTAACTATGTTACAATACTTGAAAGTTCGTGATGCATATAAATTGTTCAGGATGCAGGAGGCGCGCATTCAGGGCACAACCACTGTTCATTTTTGTCCATACTTTTCACATGGACGCAACCATTGTGAAACCAATGGATGCATTATTGAGTAAAAATCTGTTCTTCTAATTCAGCATGTCAGACCATTTTAATTTTTACGGATATTTTAATTTTTAAAAGTTAGGAGTTACAGCGCAGATCATGTAAGTAAAATATATAGAGAATAATACATGATGCTTGGAAATATGGAATTTATTATGGAATTTCAACATGGAATTTCAAATATGGAATTTCAACACTTGAAATAAATTCTATATTTCCGCGCATCCATGACTGTATTATTCTCTATATTTAAAACTATATCATTGTGAATATTTTACCTGTGAATTGTATAGATGTGAATATTATAATTGGACCACAATTATCAACTAATATATATTTGCAATTTCAATGAAAATTTCCCTTGGGCTTTAGCAAAGTCCAATTGAAATGTATCATAGGTGAATGAAAATAACAGTGGTAGCTATCTGTGAAAATATCAGTGTGTTAATCTTCAACATTATGGCATATGTGATCATGATGCAATTACTTGCAACTTAATAAATTAGTTTTCTTTAATGCACTCTTTACTGCAAAATCCTGGATATTCAAGAGTTGAGTAAAATTTTCTGAACTTGCCAAATTTACCATTTCCAATAATGTTGCCAGAGACGTGCCGGGAAGCGTAATCGAAACATAAATATTAAACGTTTTTTTCAGGATTTGCTAGGCGAACAGCCATGTATTTCCTTAAGCATGGTATGTCTTCCTTTAGGTAAAAAATGCAATATGATTTAACTTTAAACATATTAAAATACAGCAAGATTTTTTCTGTGGTTTAATAAATGATGTAGTTACTAGAAATTGTACTTTGATATGATTACCTGTGTAAAGTTCACATCCAAACCATTGACCATATAATCAGCTATCTACAACAAAATATTCCGCTAGACATTAATTAAGCAATGGGAAAAAACATAACAATAATATAATAAATAATTTATATCAAATGCAATTTTCACTTACTATGCATACAAAAACCCCACATGAACTTCCATCAAGTTGTCTTGGTTCAAATTTTGTGGAATTATCAAAATATTTCACATCTGGTGGACTTGTTTCTGGACATATTGCTTAAAGGTGTGCTATCAGTAATCTATAAGTTGAGTGAATGTTAAGTAAATACATCAATGTCAAAACATTTTTTTAACACTTCATTTATCTGTCTATTGAAGGCCTACCATCATGAAAGCCTACCTAATTTTTTTGTGGAAGCTTCTCTCTTCTCTTAACATCGCCATAGCTATAGGGTCATACAGAAATATGGTACATGAAGTGAAGTCCAGTTAGTCCACTACCTAGCTATAAGGATTTATTTAGTCCAGTCCAGTTGAATGACTAAATAGAATATTCGTTTTTTAGATTTTTGAAACGGAGGCATATACTGTATGTATACATGCACAAGTCCTAACCCTTTAACCTGAGTCCTGAAAGGCAGTTCTATAAACGCAGCTAACACAGGGTAGGCACTTGTTTCTAAATGAAGTCTTCATGTTTTACATATGTCATATTTACTAATTTCCATTACAAAATTATAAAAAAAAACATGAAATTGTTTTCCTATTATACTCGAATTTAAAAAAAAATTAATTATACTCGAATTTAAAAAAAAATTAATTACCCCAAGACTCCGGTGATTATTGTCCCAATTATTAAATTGGTATGAAGGTAATGAAGCACAGTCTGCTTTAAAGAATGGGTTCTGAATGTCAATGAATGACAGAAATCAACACAGAAATCAACGTTGAGCAATATACAGTATAAAGCATTACGAATCCATACCTTTTGAATCAATTCTGTTATGGAATGGACGCCATATTTACAAAGTTTTGTGCACATGAACACAGAATACCTAATTAATACCCAATAATACCTTAGGTATTCTGTGACATGAAGCTCACTGAGCAATATATTATACAATGGAGAGAAGAACAACCATAGATACAGCAGTGTCGCCAGATGAAATTTCAAAATATTAATGTTCGCTTACATCAAAAGTTCACAAAAATGACAAAAAGTTCATATATCTAAATTTTACGATCGGAAAGTATTGGAAAACGTCGGAATATGTCGGAATATCGTCGGTAATTGTTAGAGATTATCGAGATTGACTGAGTGGATTTGACCGGATTGACCGCAATTCCCCAAAGATGATAAATACCAAATAAAAATCAGAAAAAACTCTTCAGAAACACGAAAAACAACTCTTTTTAACAATTTTACAGGGACCGCGGAGCGTTTTTCGTATTGCTGGGGCTCGGAACCGCGCGCCTGCTAAATATAGGTCTCTGAAATCGCCGCAAATGCCTCTCAATTTAAGGATTAATGGAAAATAATAGATGGTATGTAAAGTTTCCAGCATGTTTGGCGATCATAACAAACATTAAACAATATAACCATGCTTCAGTTATGATGTCAAATATTTTGACATCGATAACCACGCTGTTTTAATGGTCAAATGCTTGTCCTATGTAAAGTTTCCAGCATGTTTGGCGCTTGTATTGCTTGTAAATTTGAGCGAACTAAAAAATATTCGAAATTAAAGACTAATTACGGAAAAATTATTGGTGGGGCTAAAGCCCAGCGAGCCACCCTGCTCCGCGTTCCCTGTTTTAAAAAGTTCATAAAAAGTTCGCATATCTTCGAAGTTCATAAAAAGTTCATGAAGAGAGCAAAAAGTTCACAAATCTGTGAACTTTGTTCACGATCTGGCAACGCTGAGATACAGAAATTGAAGCTGGAAGTTGCTACAGGAATCGCACATCTACTATAATGCATATTACATAACGTTTCTGCGCTAAAAAATACCGCTGTCAATTCTATGCAGTGATCAGCGTTCTCACTTTTAAGGAAATTTCCTTAAACTAAGGAAATTTTGATCTTATTTCACCTTTTTAAGGAATTGTTTGAGGGTTTTTAAGGAATTGTTTGAGTTTTAACTAATACAAAGCCAAAACAATTTTCCCGCCTTTTTAGTAAACTACACTAGGTCCCAGGCTTCATATCTGGGAACCCGGAGATTTAAGGAAATTTTACTCAATCTGAGGAATTTTTGTCCTTAGTCTAAGGATTTCTAAACAATAGGATGTGAGAGCCCTGGCAGTGATCACTTGGTGTCTTTAATATTTTAAAAAAAAATCCCTAAAGATTTCCAAAAATCTCATACGCTTTTTTTGCAAGTGATACGGCCCTCGTATCAAATTTTAAAACAATTCGAAATTGTTGACTTTGAGTCTAATCTCGTGTTGTTTTATGAGGAACTACATTAATTTGGGTCACTTTTTTATTTTTAAAAAACCGAGACGCTGACGTCGCATGGCTGGAACGATGAGCTGTCTGTTGACTTGGGTGACCAAGCCTTACCCAGACGATATTTGTGAGCTGCTTGTTAGCAAAGATTTCAGTGACATAGAGGAATATGACGAATCAGAAACATCGGACGATGATGAAGAACAGTAGTTTTCTAACATAACAGTTGTAGTTGTCCATTTCATAACTGGTTTGAATAAACACAGCTTTCATTTTGTTTCCACCTGTTTAAAAACCTAACCCCATGCACAAATATAATTATTCATATTGTTAAATCACGTTTTGATCCTCAAATAAAAGAGATGGAATAATTTTGTAATTTCCCTTCCTCGGGCATTTGACTTCTTTACGCCCCCCTGATTTCTTGGAAACGCCCCCTCCCACACTTGATCAACATGCAAAATCGTAATCTACACCTAAAATTACCCCATAAAAATTTTTTGTGGTAAATTCTCCGTTCAGGTGACAATACTCCCCCATCAGCCTCTGGACTATAGTAATTAAATAGTAATTATTGTCTGGGTATTGTATATGGGTATGGATTTGCAGCTATTTAATTATGTGGGTATGTATGATTAAGACGACGGAATTTTGCTAGTTTGGAATGACTTTTCCTATCGTAAATATAGCATACAATTCTTTTGTTGTATTGTTTTCGTTTCTGTACGCATTGTGTTGTATTGTTGAACAATTATTTTAATGAATGCAAAAACTTTAAAGCTGTTTCTCTTGACATAAAATATCCCAGACCCTCCGCCATATGTAGAGAGCTAACGCCCATCTCTTTTGAACACCCAACCAACACCAAGGCTACCAGTCTATGTGTGTAGCTATCGACCAAAAAAATAGAAGTGAATTGAAGACAAACCCAGGAGTAAATTAAAGACAAACTGAGACAAACACTAATTTTCGCGCACTAATTTAAATTTCGCGCAAAAAATAATTATTGTAACCAGCTGTATTATTTCCATGGGCCTAAAACTTTATGTAATATGTATCATAGTAGATGTGCGATTCATGTATTTAGCTGCGAGTGAAGTGGCGTGCGGCCGCCATCTTACCATAGTAGCCCAGAAATCTGTTTGTACCAGCCTTCGACTACATTGTTTACGCGCGCGGTCAACTTCTACTGTCGTACTAATTACTGTATATATTGACATATGATATACAGGGTGAGTAAAAAAAACTCACACCTTTGAAATTCAAATTAACCGCGAACTTATGGCTGGAATTTGACAATTCCCATTGTGTACAATCAACAAGACATGGTTAATTAATAAGAAAGTGCTTAAACCAATTGAAGTAATTCAGCGTTCTTTTTTATTACAGAGCTTAGAATGCATTTTAACTTCCAAAGCGAACAAACTTTATGTTCTAGGTTAATTAATGGGTTCACTTATTTGATATGCTTCGTATACCCATGAGATATTTTAGGCAACTTCTGTCACATTACAGCCGATTACAGACACATTGCAGCTAATTTGAATTTCAAAGGTGTCATTTTTTTACTCACCCTGTATATAATAAATACATATAATACACGGTAATTAATACAGACAATATACGTATAACACAGTAATTAGTACAGACAGTAAAAGCTGACCGCGCGCGTAAACAATGTAGTCAAAGGCTGAGTACAAACAGATTTTTGGGCTACCTATGTAGTCTATGTAGGTAATAACTGGATCTGGCCCTGTGTGTGTTATTAGAGAAATTCCAAAGGAACACACACACAACCCATGCCATACATCCATCTAAAGCGTTAATAAGCTTGAATGTGCGAGATCGATTTTTATGTATTTATCAGTGCGAATGTACATTCTTAACATATCAAATGTCCAAGTGTCACACAACTCATCTCGGCGAGAACGGCAACATTTACAATGAAAAGAAGAGCCGTCTTTGTCAAAAGAGACTACTACACGATTACAGAAGGACCAGTAGTAATCTCTTTTGACGTTGGCGAAAACTGAAAAGTGAAGAAAGCGAGGTGAATCCGTGGAGATAGGCATTTGCACAACTAATGGTACACCAAGGATAGAAGACCGCCTTTGCCACCCTAAGAATTCTACTTTCCGTTCCGACCTCAACCACTTTAAAGTGTCTACAATATAGCTTAATGACTCCTCTTTGAGATGAAATGAGGGAGCAACACGTGAGGTCCCATAAAAATTAGATTGTCCACTTCCTGATGCTGTGGTACTTAATTCACAACAAAGGACGTTGGGTGATTGATCTTAAATTGGCAATGGATTGGATAGTCACTTCTTCGCATTTGTTGCCGAATCAAGTAAATTTTATTTGATGAGTCAACACAAACACCACTCAAATGCCTCGATGAAGTAATATCTTTCCTATGATCATCACCATGCTTTGTTTTGATATGGTTCATGCTGATGGAGTTTGGATGGAACTCTTTGCAACATTCTGGAAAAGGATGCAATGCCTTAAATTTCTGGCAAGTGATGAGAACATTTGACCTATCAGACATATAGTTCAGTGCAAGCTTGAATGTTTACAGTTTTTTATTATTAATTTAATGAATATATCAATTACAAAGTGAAATGATTTTATGAACTATGCATGGGAAACTTTGGGAGGGATACTAAGATATTCGTCCTCTTTATTCCCAAACCCTGGACATCCCTCCGTCGCCCCGGCCGTTGGCCACCTTGAATACTGTGGTGTAGGAATCATCGGCTAATTAACTTAATGTCTTTTAATTTGTTGTTTTTGATCACCTGTACAAAAAAATTCCATTTTACTGATCCGTGCAATGATGGTTTCATTCCATGCAGATCTAGTGGTGCAAACAGTTATACCGTAGCACGATCGCTTTCACTATATCACATCGCTGACGGCAATAATCGTACCGTGCTCACAGGCATTAATCCGAATAATATGGCCGATGGGATTGTAGTTTATAAACACAAACTTTTTACTTATAAATAATTCAATAGCATTAAAACTACTTTGGTGTCATATAAAACAAATGATGATTTTTTTTCCTGCGATGGTAAGAATGTTTTCATTGGGTGCAGGATGGAATAAAATTCAACTCGGCTTCGCTTCGTTAAATATTCATAATTTACCCCATGAAACTTATATTAAACGTTCATTATGAGTATAATATTTCAGTATAGATCTGTCATCCCAAGTATTCCAGCCAATTAGAGTTACCAATTTGCATTCGACTTCAGGCCCGCTTACATGCATATATGGACGGTGCAATTTTTTTTGCACTTGCAATGCAATAATACTTTTGAGAGATTGTAAGTCTTTCGCTACTACGAAACGTTTATGTTTATTCAGTTATACTCCATGGACGAAGAGTCGAGGACTCTTCACTAATTTACATCTCTTAAAAATAGAATTGCATCAGTTGCAAGAAAAATTGTACCATGTAAGAGGGACTTTTGAAAGACCTTGGGAGTTGAGAAGGGATAGAGGAGCTTGCCTAATCGTATATTTTACCATAAAGACGAAAATCATGCAAACTATAAATTTTAATAATACGACAAGGTTTCTTTTTGAAAGAAATAGGGACACGCTTCAGAACGTTTATACGAAAATTTAATAATGCTCGGGCTGAAGAGCTGATTTAGTAAAGAATAAAGAGTTTCTGATTTATATTCAATTCGACAAAATAAATTCTTTTTCGACATTAATTAGCACACAGACATGTCTATTTACTCCCCCGGAAACTGATCGATATAGAAGATGTAACGGTAATTAGACATTATTGATTGACGCAGGTGAATTTTTTTTTAAATATTTTATACTCGATCGCTGTCGAATGCTACATGATTTAAGTAGATGACGATACAGCTCACAGGATTGAATATGAAAAATTTAGAAGCACAGCAAGGAAAAGGTCTACATCAGAATCCCAACTTATTTCTACATTTATTGATAACTGACGTTTGTAAAAAATAGCAGATGGCAGATCATTAGATTAAGTTGAAGTGAACAAATTAACAGTGCAATTTATCTACGATGACATTTGCATGCATTCAACCTCCAAAATATATGCTCTGAAGTAGCAAGAAGCTCTTTATAGAATGACGTCTGATCGAAAAGAAGAACTGTAATTGAGTAGTAGGCAGAAAATAATATATTTTCGTAAACTGCAGGACAACTGCATCTTAACCCCACTCTGACTTGATCTTTGACAAGACGGCAAAACAGAAGAATGGTGTACGGAAAAGTTGTCCTCACGGCCATCTCAATCATTGCATTTCTTGGAAATAGTTTGACAGTCCTGCTCTTCATCAAAAAGTCAGAGTTGTTGAAGAAGACTTATAACTGTTTAATTCTTGCTTTGGCAGTTCAAGATATTCTTCAAGCCATCTTTATCGCGATTTTGCCTGGATATATCTTGGACGAAGACGCGTATACTTTACCAACGGACCGAACATTACGATGGATGTTTTGCAAGCTATTCTGGTCCCAGTTCTTTATCTTCGCTTTGGGAATAGCCCCGTGTACACCTGCCTCATGCTGACTTTCGATCGGCTGGTTAGCGGTTGTTATGCCCTTAACTTTTAAGAAGTATGAAAATCGAAGCTTGTTGTTTCTCGACCGTGCTTTTCCCTTGGATAGCCGGAACATGCTTTGAAATAACAGCGCCATTGAGAGCAACCACTACTCAAGTCAACGGCAGCTTTTCATGCGCCTGGAAGACGCCAGAATACTCTTCAAAAACGATTGTCATCGCGACATTCACGTTCTTGGCATGATAGTCGTACCTGGGGCACTCATGGTGATAGCGTACAGTCGGATTATAGTCCACATGAAGAGATCCGAAATCCGAATTGAGGTGATTAGGAACAATCAGAGGATGGTCAGAAAAAGTAATGCCTTGAAAGCTCTAAAAAGAGTCACAACAACAGCCTTTTTTGCCTCTGGTATAATAATCGTATGTTGGCTGCCGGATCAACTCTATTACGCATTGTCCCAAGTTAACTTGACGGAGCTCGGTACGACAATTCATTTCGTCTTCAAAAGCTTGGCATTTGCCAATTCTTGTATTAATCCAGCCATCTACTGTTTCTCAAACAGAGCTTACAGGACTGGTCTGAGGGAGCTGTTTGGTTGTTTTTGCTGCAAAGTACACCCACAGGGAGGTGAATTGTCAGGGCCAGGGGAAGCTGTACACCCCTCGTAGGCTGTTTATATACTTTAATTGAGTTCTATGACAACTTACTGAGTGAAGATTTAGTTAAACGAAAAGGATCAGTCGTTTCATGTTGTAAAGGTATACCTGACCAGTTACCTGTCCACACGGGTCCATATCAAGCCAACAGGAAGTATCGTTTTTAGATATCGCCATTGCGAATTACGGCATGTAGCTATAGTTATTTATTAAATTTTTAATTTTATATGGGAAATATAGATTTAGACGGTAAATGTTCTATACAAACATTTTATGAGTAAAATCGTACGAGTTTCTTTAGCTCCTTATACTGATAGTCTGATAATACTTTGTAAACAAATGTGACGTTGAAATAAAGCCGAGAACTATTGACATAGTGCGGGTTAATAAAATTTAATGTGTTAGTATATTCAATTTACGCTTTGGCTTTGGTTAGTATATTCAATTTACGCTTGCATTTGGCAACGATTAATCACTGAACGCCGAAAGAAGGACAGTTAATAAGATCATAATTGTTAGTCCGGGCTAGCATGCAAATTAGCAAACATATTTGAATGCAAACGGATTTTAGAAGCCAAATGGAATAAAATACTAGCTAATCGCAATTTTTTTCCCGTTATGAATGCGTGATGGTAATCGAAATCTCAATTTTTTAAACGGTGTTTAAGAAAACCGGAGATTATTTTAATGTCTATAACGTTTCACACAAGTGAAAAACCGTTGTTCGAGACTGAAGCAAATTTACCTTGTGCGATAGTTTTTATACATTGGGTGCAGTAAAAATGCGTCTCGTTGTTTTGTTGCTAAACAAATTGGCTTGGATGGCAGATCATTAGATGAAGTTAAAGTGAGCAAATTATCAGTACAATTTATCTACGAGGTTATTTGCATACATTCAACAACCAAAACATCTAAAGTAGCACGAAGCTCTTTATAGAATGATGCAGTCAATTTAGTAGTACGGAACGGCTAAAATTGGTACCTGCATCCAATTTGATGCACAGCAATTTAAAGCACGGGCATCCATTTTGACCGTGCCAATAAATCGAGTGTAGGTGTAGTGTAACGAGGCTTTAGTTTGCAGCTAAAGTTAACTGGTTCACTTACTGATCAAAAACCAATCTCGTGATATATTCTTTCGGCATTCGTGGTAGTTGAAAATACGTTTTTCAAGCCAATCAGCCACATGTTGTCTGAACAGTCTTATATTATGACAAGGTAGGCAACTCTCACGCCAAATAAGCTAAAAACGCACGACGGTTAAATTGAACACCTTCACAAAACCGCATATATTTCATAAAAATATGGCGAATAAGAAAAAAAGTACAACACATTAAACTTGAATAATTTTACTACATTTATACTATATTTTTAGCATTCAAATGTATTCCTATGCATGTATAAAACGTGAGTGTTTTTTGGTTTACTGGCAAATATATTTCAAAACCTATGCTGGGGACACCTTGCCTATACCTTCGTCATATTTTTAAATTGAAAATAGAAAGCTGATTGGCTGTCGTTTCAAAAGAGCTAGCGAGCGAGATCAGTTCTGGGCCGCCTATGATGAAACAAGGAAAAAGTTCAATTTAATTCAACGAAAACGGCGCTCTTAATATAATAAGGTCCCTTTGAGTCAAAATACCAGTTTCAATTCAAAATGGATATGGCTAATCTTTACTAGGATCGTATTAATTTCGTGGTAGTTGAAAATACGTTTTTCAAGCCAATCAGCCACATGATATTCTCGAGAGAGAGCTGTCGTCGCAGCCAGTTTCCGACGACGTGAAATTCTATGAGGCCTCGCTTCTCTTCACGACGAGCTGCCTCGTCTCGTGCGATGTGTCGCCCAGGGTACAAACCACGCTGTAAGTACACAGTTTAAACGAAATTGACTGTTTGATTTGAAATTGACATTTTCGAAACCCACTGGGGCCGGTTGTATAAAACTCTTAACTACGTTTTAACTACTTTTTGACCACCCAACTGTAGTTAAAACGTAGTTAACTTTAATCACGCAGTTAGCCACTTGTATAAAAACGTAGTTAGCGTTAACTGTACAGGGTGTATAAAAAAAAACGCAACCACTTAATATTCATGAATATCCTCTTTGTTCTACAACACAAAAGACGTTTGGCCTCTGGAATGCGAGAAAGCTTGTAATCATATTCTAGCGGCACAATCGTCGGTAAACAAAGTCGGGTGCGTAAACCAACGAGCTGAATTGAAAGTATTTAACGAGTAAGATTTTATTTACAATTTATTTTACAAGGTCGACATTTAGCATTCAAGTTATCATGCACGACAATAAAAACTCGCTGTTCGGTTGTTAGCTGCACCATTATTAGTTTAGCTGATTTGACTATTAGCAGTTGAACTGTACGATTAGAAGCTATTTTAAAATCCCAGGGGCATAAAATCTATTGAGCTTATGAACAATATGAATTTTAGAATATTAAGTGGTTGCGTTTTTTTTGATACACCCTGTAGTTAAAATCTAGTTAAAGTTAACTATCCTCAAGGGCATCGTTAACTTTCCAAATCGTAGTTAAAAATGGCGTCTTAATTGAGCTTTTGAGGAGTGAGAAAACATTAAAATCAACATATACCAAGATTTTCAACCGTTATCCACTCAGAAAAGGCCCCGTCGAAGCTTGTAAACTCTCAATATCCTTTTATTTTTGTCATTTGGGCAGCAGCGGAGTATATTTTTCCTCGGGAGATGTGTCGATGCCAAATTAATACGATCCTAGCAAAGATTATAGCCATATCCATTTTCAATTGAAACCGGTATTTTAACTCAAAGGGACCTTATTATATTAAGAGCGCCGTTTTCGTTAAATTAAATTGAACTTTTTCCTTGTTTCATCATAGGCGGCCCAGAACTGATCTCGCTCGCTAGCTCTTTTGAAACGACAGCTAATCAGCTTTCTATTTTCAATTTAAAAATATGACGAAGGTATAGGCAAGGTGTCCCCAGGGCCGTAGCTAGACCGCTTAATTGGGGGGGTGTATATTCATATATTCATGTTTATATACCATAGGAACAATAGCATACAAAAGAAATCATTCGGGCATATGACGAATATATGAATATGCACCCCCCCAATAAAGCTTCTAGCTACGGCCCTGCCCAGCATAGGTTTTGAAATATATTTGCCAGTAACCCAAAAAACACTCACGTTTTATACATGCATAGGAATACATTTGAATGCTAAAAATATAGTATAAATGTAGTAAAATTATTCAAGTTTAATGTGTTGTACTTTTTTTTTCTTATTCGCCATATTTTTATGAAATATTTGCGGTTTTGTGAAGGTGTTCGAGTTAACCTTCGTGCGTTTTTAGCTTATTTGGCGTGAGAGTAGCCAACCTTGTCATAATATAAGACTGTTCAGACAACATGAGCGTCGCGCGTGGTCAGCGAGATTAGCGAGATCAGTTCTGGGCCGCCTATGGTTTCATTGCATTTTTTACAATATTCTAAATCAAAATATTGTAATTTTTTGTAAATACGAGTCTACAGTCTTGTTCAAAATCAATAATAGCGGTCAATAATTTCGAGATACTTCATGCTATTTCTCTGTTTAACAACTTAGTTAGTCATCCGACTAACTACGTTTTGTGGAGTTAACTAATCATAGTTAAGGATTTAACTCAGTGATTAGCGCTAATCATAGTTAAAGTTAACTACGTTTTTATACAACCGGCCCCAGTACATCAAGACTTGGTTTGGACCGTAAATATACAGTTGGGATTCAGCCAATGATGAAACAGGGATTTTTGGATTGGGGGGGGGGGGCTAGCGAAGCCGAAAAAGTGAACCCAGGGGGGTCCATACTTATCTATTTATATTTTTCATATGACATAATTATTTGCCTTCTGTAAAGTTGCTGACAAATTGTCCGTATGCCTAAAAATCATCACGCTAAGATGTAATGAATAATGATGATTATTCAAGATGTTTGAATTATTTATAATTAAATTCACACATGCTCTTTAAATGGTGGCTAATGTTCGTCCTCGTCGAAAATCTCACATAGAGGTTTGAACGGAGCCGTGTGTTAGCAAAAGACACTTCTATGTTTGCAGTTAAACAGAGTTAATCTGACGAATTGTTCCATTGTTCACCGACACGGATAGCAGGGGCGCCATGGCCCCCCCCCCAGGATTCAAACCTGTCGGAAATTTCATTACCAGAAATTTGGGACAAGATGGCGTCTTGCATTCGGATAAAAACAAACATGGCGGCCAAATTTCATGCGAAACAATATGGCTTAATCACAAAACTTTAAATTACGCTTCCTATGTGTGTTTTTTTCTTGGTTCGGAGTTCGAATTCTGTAAATCGTTCAGAAAGGAAGAGTTATAACAAAAAATATTCACTCACTAGCAAATCCTCTAGGTTCCTGAGTGCGATTTATATACAAGTCCAATTTGAATGATTCGGCTGTATAAACCATAGTAATATCGGTAAACATGCTCTACAATCTGGTCAAATACACCACTTTCCTTTTGGACGATGCAAAGTTCGGAGTTGGAAATGTCTTTGGTTGTGATATAGCTAGCGATATAACTCATAAATATCTTCGTATTTTTTACCGCCACGGTTCCCACAGCGTTTGAAATTTCATGATTCTTCAGTGTGTTAAGCATTCGGCCATATACATTTGAAGCATAATTATAATTGCATAATTATACCATCGAGCCATTTTATGAAATTTTCACCAATTCATTGGGCCAAGAAGCGGACGCTGCCCACGAACGCGGACGCAAAATGTCCCAAATTTCTGGTAATGTACGAACATTGCATGTTGTCGGAGTATATCAATCATAACAGAGACTAAGCTATTGTTGCATTTGTGGCTGTGATATGCTGAACAACCCAAAAGTATTTCAACTATCAGAAAATAGACGCGGTTATTTCTAATATTATACGGTACGACACTACCCCAAGTTTTTATTATACTGTTGTCGCGCAGGCTAAACTAGCTGTTTCTTCCGAACGTTTCCGG